GCTCCCTGTCTTGTCCCTGTCCCTCGAGTGTCTCCTAAATAATACACCCACTGAGGGTTTTGGCAGTGGCTTTTATGCTCTTTGGCACACCTTTTTATAATAGGTACTAAAAAAATAGTCCATTACATCTTTCTTAATGGTAAAATCGTTTATGCTGTTGCCGTGGCTTTTGTCATTATGCAGTCAGTTCTCTGTGATGAGAGACGTTAAATGCAACCAGAGGCTGTAGGAATGGCTGGGCAGACGGCCTGGCACCCAGCTCAAGCAAGGAGGCGTGTGTGACTGGGAGACTTTAGGGGCTGGGGCTGGGGGGAGTGGAAGCACTCTGCTAGAAGGGCTAAGCCTTCAGGGGAAAAGGTTAATGTTTCACTGTGTTCTAGTGACAGAGTAATAGGCAGGGAGGGGCGGAGTGGTTTAATTCATCAATATGTTATTCCAGGATGTAAGGGTTAAACTTTCGGAAATGTGCATTCAAATAACTCAGAAGCACTTCAGGTAAATTACTTTGCCGATGTAGTAAGTTATTTTTAACCTGTCCTGTAGGTGCATAACTGCTACCAGTCTCTTCTTTTTATGCCTTGTAAGGCAGTGTATCTAAATCCGATCCTCGGCGACCGGCAGACCATGTTTTTGCTCCCTCCAAGTTCCCTACCGGACAGTGCAGAGGACTGTCTGTGGGTCCCTGAGAACCGGATTGGGACACACTGTTGTAAGGGGTTTAAAGGTGATTGATGAGAATGTCGATGCTCCCCAATAAATAACACAGGGGAGCCTGTCCTTTGACCTCTCCACCATGTATCCCAGCAGACCATGCTGTTCCTGTGTGTTGCCTTATTGGTCCTGGCTGGGCCGGCCCTCCCCTCTTCTGCAGCGGACCCTGAAGCACCAAGGCACAGACACGATGCCAACCTGGAGATCTGTATCCGACAGCTGCCTTATTCCCGAGATGAGTGTGTGTGTGTGTGTGTGTGTGTGTGTGTGTGTGTGTGTGTGTGTGTGTGTGTGTGCGTGTGTGCACGCGCGCGCATGCGTGTTGGTGTCTGTCGGGTTTTTGCCGATCTGCGTCTTGCTGGTCTGTGGGCTCACGGCAACATGTGTGACCTGTATTGCTCGGTCCTTAGCTGCTTCTCTAGACAAACGTTTGTTTGAGACGAAGAGGAAGGACCAGCTGAACGCTCTGAAGAACCTCGTGGAGCTCAACGACATCAACCAGCAGTACAAGATCATCGACATCATGCTGAAGGGGCTGTTTAAGGTGCGGTGTTGGACGCTGCAGTGTCTGGGTGTGTGGACAGCATTTCTGGGATGTCTGAGACATTAATTAGGCTTAATTGGTCCGCTGACAGTCTTCCTGAGATTTCTGACCTTTTCAAGCTTTTGAGGAGGGCATGGTTGCAAAGACGAGACTCTAAGAAATGTTTTTGTTAAAAAAAAAAAAAAAAGAGAAAGGAATTATATATGCATGCATGTGTTTTTTTTATTGTTTGTTTTTGTTTATTTGATAAAATGACATCATGAGCCTCACTGGGCTATTTTCAAGTTATGTATGGAATCGGTAATAAAAATTAGTTATAAACTCACTCAAGAACCCAAATGGCACTCAAATCAGTATTAATTGTTAGTTATTTGTATTCCTTGTGGAGGACAAATGAATTTCATCAAGTTAAAGTGACAAATTTTGTTTCTTTGCCTTCCTGTAACACGCTGGAGCTTGTAAGCGGTTCATCACCCAAAATCATTATGTCATAGCAATGCTCAATAAGCACAGCATACAGCCTATAATGACAATGCAGCATTCATGTGGTGGAGCCGAGTTTTTCCCTGAGCTTGGAGTTTTTTTTTTCTCTTGTCCAAAAAAAAAAATGATTATGCCCTCCAGGTGAGTGAAGGGCAGCAGGTGATGGGAAGGGTATCGGAGTGTCTGACATATGGCTGCGTGTCTTTCTCAAGGTGCTGGAAGATTCCAGGGCGATACTCACTGCTGCTAACATGCAGCCTGATGACCCCTTTCCACTGGATGACAAGATCAAGGAAGGTCAGCCTCCTGGTGCTCTGCATCACAGTCCCCTCCCCACTTTGTTTCTTCTCCTCCCTCAATCTGTTTCTCTCTCCTCGCCCCCCCATCCCTCTCTCTCTCCTCAGTTTCATATCAAAGTGTCTTTCATTGTCTGTGACTCACTTGCTTTATTTACTTTACATTTTAGCTGCTCAGTTGATGTTTTTACTTGAAGTTACTTACAGGTTTTGCCTGTTTATACTTGATATCTTACTGCAGCAACTGATCTTAATTATTCCTAGGGTACAACAGCAATGCCCCCCTCCCCTGGGCTTTAGTCTTTAAGTCTGCTTGCTATATAAAGACTCTCTCTCTGTGATTTTTGACTGACACTGATGTTTGGCATGAACATCTGTGTGTGTGTCCCTGTGTGTGTGTGTCCCTGTGTGTGTGTATACACACACACACCCTCAGCATACTCCCACGTCCTGGAGAACACGGCCTTCTTCGGCGATGTGGCTCTGCGCTTTCCCCGCATCGTTCATCACTATTACGACCGCAATGCCGACTGGGAGGGCCTGGTGCGCTGGGGCCTGCATTTCTGCAACCTCACGGGCGTCTTCGCTGGGGGAGCACACCAGCACGTCCTCACACTGGTACGACTGAGAGAGCCGGATGCTTGAGAAGACAAGAAAACTGTGCCTTCTCCGTTAGTCAATCTATTTAAAATGTGGAAGAAAATAAGAATAATGAAATAATACTCGGCTCTTTGTAGAGGTCAAGTCTTACAGGTTCTTCTTTGTGATTCAGTACTTTAGTTTTTTTCCGACGTTCATCTTTTTTTTAAATGTTTTTCCACATCCTCCACCTTAGATGTCACAGGAGCTGGGAATCACAGAGAAGTCACCGGACTTCATCAACCCCTACCGTACCGAGAGAGATGATGTGAGTTATGGCACGTGGAAAATCCTAGCATGCCCTTAATCAAACCACCCCCCACCCCACCATGTCCGTCACATAAACCTTCTGTTCTTCGCCGGCATTCTGCTGCTAAGATGCTGCACACCGCTGAAGCCTTCCAGAAGATCCTACGAGAGGAGGAGAAGCGGCGTCGCAAAGAGGAGAAGAGGAAAGAGATCAGGAAGGGGCCCCGCATCTCCCGCTCTCGTACTGAGTTATAGCGCCCCCTGGCCCTGGGGAAGAACATGTGACCGGAGGGCATCTTTAGAGTGACTGGGGCCATAGGGGTACAGGTGTGTAGGTGTGTGTGTGGGTGTGTGTGTGTGAGGAACAGAATAAACAGTAATTTTATGAAAATAAATGGAAATTAGGCTATTTTCAATTTTTGGTAGCAAAAATGGAGGGGTTACATACATTTAGGGAGAGTATTTAAAACTTATTTGTTTTTGGTAACAAAGAAATTTTGTAGTGTAATTAATTTCCTTAAAACAATTCACAGCAAAGGAAACTGTGAGATTGAGATTCAATAGCATCCCCTCAGGAGTTATATTTAAATTTTTAGTCTTAAGTAACAGTTATTGTGACTAAGTTGTTTTTCCCTTTGGGTTAGTTGTTTGAATATAAAGCTGAACAATTCCTGGATATATTTCTGGTATTTTTTTATTCTGTCCCCAACAATGGCTGCTTCAAAATAGCATAATGAGTATTAAAGTTATATCTCTTTAATCATCTGCAATTATATGTATGAACAAACATCACCAACGGTTCAGCCTGTGCCTGGGGAGAAACAATCATCGTGCTGAACACCGATAAAAAATTAGCGTTTGAACCGAGTAGGGCTGCCACGAAGAATCGGCTTGTGGTTAAACTGTACAACACTGCCCCCTACTGCTCATCTGCGCCAAGAGACCGGCAGGTGATTTATGCTCCCTTTCAGCCTCGGTCGTTTCATTTAGTACTTAACCTGTAGCCTTTTGCTTCCTCCTTTCGCAGGTGATCACTTGCTTAAAGAGTCCGTGACTGAGCTTAACTCCTTCCCATTTCGTTATAATTTAGCTACAGTGGTTTCATGCCGTTTTTGTCAAATTTTCAGACTTACAAACATACAGCTGTTACGTTGAGCTCATGTCTCTTTGTGGATTTTTATTTTAGATTTTTTTTTTTTTTTTACTCCATTTCAAAATTCAATAAAGATATTTGGAATTGTATTTATAGAATAATAAACTGCGGTCGTACAATTTACTCTAGTCTGTGTACTTATTTTCGACTTACGATAGTATTTTTTCAGCCATTGAAATTATTGAATAAGTTTGCTATTTACTGAAATGCCCTCTGAACCGTGATGGTGGTCATGTTCGTGCTGTCGGCTGAGCGGAGCTTAAGGACGCTGATTATGAATCTGCTTGTCATCCCATCTTAAACTGCAGTCTGTGATGGTTGCTGAATTCAAAGCATTTATCCCAAAAGGCCAAACTGTAAAAATCAGGACAAATTTATGGTGAGCTGCATTACCATCTCATGTCCCATCTTTGTTTTGATTCCTGTATTGGATTTATTCTGTACAGTCATTTAATAACCAGGATTCTTGCCATGCTTAGGATTCATTCCATTTTAGTTCAACAAATTACCGAAAAGGTTTCTGATGAAATTTGGTATAAGAATTACACCTACCTTCCAGAGCTCATAAATGTTTTTGTGAATTAAAAAATTCTTTTGCAACATCACTTTTCATAGTAGGCAGCAAAAATGATAACGGGTCAATGTATTTCATTATTTTAAAAATAAATGACTTGTTACTTAAAGCCCTTCACTAGTTTTTTAATATTCAAAAGTAATAAATACAATTTGCGATTTTCTTTGCAACCCTTGGTTGGTGATAAAAAATATTTCTGAGCTCTGCCAAGTTGGTGTAATTCACATGCCAGATATAATCAACATCACAAATGGTAACGCACAGGCCATTTGTTGAATTAAAGTGGAATGATTCCTGGTTATGTAAAATAAATTTGAAATAACAGACGTGTAAATGTTTTAAAATGGCAAAATTAGCCACTAGGTGGTGCCGAAGATTATGTACGAATTTAAGTTTCGGTTTCGTTGGGTGCTTTCTGGTATAACCCTTTGTACAAGGACAGACAGATCGCCATTATCATTTCGCCGGAAGGAAAATGGATATGCAGGCTTTGCTTTCAGGGGAAGGTGACACGTTAGAAGTAATGTGTGACAGAGACGGTGAGTCAGGGCTGCGAGTATAATTTTGACTCTTAGGATCACTGCTTAGCTGGTTAGCTAGTGCGGTTTGATAAGCGACATCGAAACGTAAACAAAAGCGAATGCTGCTAAATAATAGACTAATTATTAATATAGCCAGTTATCCAGCCCGCATTCTGATTGCTGTTTATGCATATTCGCACCTGCCTTTCGCAATAGTTTGGAGTCAACCAGTACCGCAGTAAAAACTTTGTTTTGCCGTAGTTAAACAGAAGTACCCATATGTTTGCAGAAATTTCTGGTGAACAATTGCTCTCGATGTTTGACCTTAATCGGTATGTTTAGAGGACTAGAAAGATACCAGCGAACTTCGACTGTAACAAGTATCTTCTGAAGCGGCACAATGCCAACTTTGAGTCATCGACAGCAAGAGTAACTAAAGCAGTAATATCGATGTGTTCTTTGATCTTTTTACAATTATTCATAGTGGCTTATAACAAAAAATTATATAACACAAAGAACTGTATTCCCTGGAAGGGGAATGCATATAGTTTAGGTCAGGGGTCTCCAACTCCGGTCCTGGAGAGCTACCGTCCAGTAGGTTTTCTATCATACCGGCTTCTGATGAGAAGCCAAGTGGGACAGAAAACCTACTGGATAGTATCTCTCCAGGACCGGAGTTGGAGACCGCTGGTTTAGGGACTGGTCTGCCTCAGCCACTGCTAGCGTGTTAACTCAAAAAGTTACAACCTTTGCAGACATATTGTATAAGTGGCGATTTGCAACATATAAAGTTTTGAGACAAATCACATCAAAATTGAAGCAAAATCCCATAGTGACAGCAAAATAAAGGGTGATCACTGAAGACATTTGACCTTGTGAATGTGATAAGTATTGCATGTATCTTATTACCACTAAACAAATACATTATATGGATGAGGCTCTAAACCTGATTTTATTTCAAGACAAATTGCAGCAGAATTGAAGCAGCCGCGCTAGGTGGCAGCAAAGGAAGGGAAGGGCAGTTTGATCTTGTGGAGACAGATTCTTCACATACTTTTAGGGTTACTGTTTCAAACTTGCCAGGGACATTGTATAGGTGATGATCTGGGACTTATTTAATTTGAGACAAATTACACCAAATTTGAAGCAGTATCATTTAGTGGCGGCACATGACAGAACAGTCACAAACGCAGATTAGTCGAACCTGATCACATTGAGACTAAAGATTGTAGAGGTTGGGGGCAAAAGGATCAAATTGGGGGGGGGGCTGTTATTTATTACATCTAATTTTTTATGGCCCTCATTTATTTGCTTTTCCTACAGGTGAACGGAGAAAAGAAAGAGAACCAAGTCAGGAAGATAACAAAACAGGAACTGACACAGAGGATAATGATGAGCCCATAATGACAGAGCTCAGACTAGTTTTGATTGGCAAAACTGGGTCAGGGAAGAGTTCTTCTGGCAACACCATCCTCGGTCAAAAGCACTTCCTGTCAAAACTCAGTGCCAGCTCCGTGACCCAGACTTGTGAACAAGGCATCCTGGAATATGGTGGAGAAGAAAAGGAACGTGGAGGCGGGAGGCAGCGGAGGAAGAGGGTGGTAGTGGTGGACATGCCAGGGTTTGGAGACACCCGTTTTGATGCGGAGCATATCCGGACTGAAATTGCCAAGTGTGTGGCGCAGATGGCTCCAGGACCCCATGCGTTCCTCGTGGTGATCCAGCTGGGCCGATACACAGAGGATGAGGCAAGGGCAGTGAAAGAGGTGGAGCAGATTTTCGGGGAGCAGGCAGTCCTCAATCACAGCGTGATTGTGTTCACAAGGGGGGATGACCTGGAGGAGATGGACATTGAGGAATACCTGAGAGATACTGCCCCAGAGGATCTCAAGTCACTTCTAGAGAGATGTGGGAGCAGATACCATGTCCTCAACAACAGGAAACCTGAAGACAGAGAGCAAGTGTGGGGCTTGCTGGAGAAGGTGAAGAGGATGGTGGAGGTGAACGGAGGCGGGTGCTACACTGATAACGTCTTTCAGGAAGCCGAGGCAGTTATCAGGGAGGAGCAGGAAAGGCTAATGAATGAGCGAGAGGCAGCAAAGGCCATGGAGGGGCTGTTCATGGATGGGGCCAAAAGGAGGAAATACGACCTTAAAGCCGTGACTCCAGATAGTGGAGAGGAAAGGCAGGAGCAGTGGAAGAGGAGGAAAGGAGCTAAAAGCCAGATGGTATCTCTAGACTCTGCTGTATGGGGGTTCAGGAAGGAGGCCATCCACTCAGCTAAGGTCCTGGATAAAATCAAGATCTTGGTGGCTGCTGCTGCCACAGGAGTGGTTGTGGGCGCTGTGTGCGGGGCCGCAGTTCCCCTAGCCGTGGCTGCGGGTGCCGCTTTGGTTGGGCAGGCGGTGGGCATGGGGGGTGCAATTGGGACAGTGGTAGCTGCTACGTCAGGCACTGCTGTCATGACTGTGGGGTCAGCGATGGGGGTGGTTTTAGGAGGGTCGGTGGGTGCTCTGGTGGGAGCTGATGCTGAAACTCCACTGGATGCCTCCGTAGAGGCACTGAGGCAGGTCGGAGTGATGGGAGCTACGGCAGTGGGAGTGGCTGCTGGTGTGGGTGTGGTTCTAGGAGCAGGGGCAGCCCTGGGAGCATGTGGCACAGCTGTAAGCTCCACAGCACCTGTGGCGGCAGAGGGCGTGTGTGCTGTGGGGGTGGCTAACTCCACTGTAGCGCAGGCTGTTGGCTCGGTAGAAATGACAGGACCACTAATGGTGGCAGAAGGGGCTCAGGCAGTAGGAGTGGTGGGGCCGATGGGAGCCGACATGGCGGCGGCTGGTGGGAGGGTGGCGACGGGCTTCGATCGAATCATATCTGCGGCTACAGAGATCGGAAAGGTGGCTACAGGGATCGCTGTGGCTGGGGGGCTGGTGGTGAAGGTTGTTAAGGAGAAGGTCAGGCAGAGGGCTGGTCCCTCAGAATCTAGCACAGTTGAGAAGATGTCTTGGGAGTTCTCCTGGAACAAAAAATAAAGATTCTGGATCAGAAAATCAAATATCATGTGCTATCAGTTATTAGTTTGGGTGTCATCATTAGTTATATGCTTCAGAATTTTTCTTTATAAAGACTTATGAGTGCTGCATTCTATGAGATATAACATGTAAAATGGTGCAGTTCAAGCATTATAGCCATGTCATTAATGTATAATTATGATAAGAATCATATGATTTGTGTGATTTCAAATTTTTCCACTTTGCTTGATTGAACCACAGGAATACGGTTCTAAATTAAATACATGAAGGATTTTTTTACTATGTAATATTGGAGTAATTTTGGGAAATGTATTTTATGGAATAAACAATTTGTGCTCTTCTGATTATATCTTCAGTAAAACAAATCTTCGAGTACAGCAACAATTTTTCTGACAATAAAACAATATATTCTGATAATATTCTTCATACTATTTAATGAAGCTATGGTGCTGGAAATATGGTTTTATGTATGTATACATTAATGTGTGGTGATTTGTGTATTACGAACAAATTAATAAACATTTTTGCAAGGTTCCGTCTTAAAATTCACTGTCAGTGTTAGAGTGATTATGATACTAAAATTATAACAATAAAAAACGTCAAATGTCAATTATCACACATATCCGCACATTTTCACAAATTGTGGATAAAGTTTGACCGCGAACATGAAGCGTTTCTTCTGTAATTGGGCGGGGATCTCCTTGGTTGGGCGTGGCAAAGTAAAATTAAACGGAAGCTTCTGATCAGTGACGTACTATCAGACCATGGCATAAAACGCGCTCTGATTGGTTGGTGGTCCCTGGTCTTAGGACAACAACAGTCACCAGTTCACCAATCAGAAATTCGGCTGAATTTGGTGTGTTTGTAAATGACGTAGCAGCTGGAAAGCAAAATGGCTTCCTTTAATTTGTAAATGGATCTGCTAAGAGAGATTCTCGCCTTCTCCAGGCACGGGATCTTTTATTTTTTTATACATTTCGACAAATCGTAGAAAAGAGTTAATTTCTTGTCGTCAGACTTCCACATTTTTCCTTTTAAAAATTCTCCGGTGGCGACCGGGAAAGTGAAAGAAAACGAGGATGGACGGTGGGGAGTATATTTCGGCAATGGAAAATATGGACCCCACGTTATCAGAACTCGGGGACGAATTTACCCTGGGTGACATTGATGGTGGGTAATGACTATTATTAAAGAAATCGTAATATTAATTTTGAAAATGGAAATGATCAGTGTAGCCCGTATCCGGGGTCCGATAGCTGGAATGTCCTCTGACTCGATCGTCACCTGCCAGTTTAGTCGAGAAGCGTATATTGTCAACTGTAATATTATAGCTTCCTTATGTTACAGTTGATCCTATAACGCCGTACATTTGACCTGAGTTGGATGCAGTAGTATTGATTGTTACCTTCCGCGATTATTCCGTGAATATGTCCTATTTTCAGACACTCAGACATTCAGTTGGTAAACTTTATTATATTTATATAGGTGTTATTTTGATACGAGGTATTTATAGTGCACGATATGTTATTGCACGGTTTTAATTTGTTAACAAACTGCAGCGGAGAACATGGACGAAATAGATGTACTGCACACATCAAGCGTCCTGTCAGATAGTGTCTGTCAAACCGGTTGGTTAAGTAGCAGATATTTATGTTAAACTGGCACAACCAACATGGAAACTATAAAATCCGTAATACAGATTCAGGCATTATTTCGACATTTGACATCATCTAGTATATTTTACCCCTTATATTTTTTATATTGTCGCGACTCAGATGGTGGTTAAATTTGAAAATATGACATTTCTTTATATTCTATTTCTTTGGCGTGTTCTTTGCTAATTACTTTCCATATTAGTAATTCGTTTCGTACAGTAATTTGTAACTCTGGACAGCCCCCGTATGTATATAAGTCTGTGCAAGTTTGTTTCACCATGGTTTTATTGAATACATGGTGAATAATAGGTTCCAGCACTGACACACCTCTCAGTAACTCCCCCCTGTTATTAAACCAAAGGGTCCTGCTGTGTTATGGGGGTCGAGTTTACGATGCCCTGTTTTATGTGTGTTTGCTGTGAGTTATGTAATTTTCTTTTGTTGCCAAAGTCAATATGTGATTTTCTTTAAGTGAAAATTAGGTTACGCATTTATAATGTACTGCACATAGCTTTAGATTTGTATTATTATTATTTTTTTTACTTTGAATTTCGCATCTGTTTTTCGAACCATGATCTGGAAGGTGACCTTCCCCTCTGGAAATATGAGGTAGCCGATTAATAACAGAGTGGTAATTCGGTCACTCTCCATTCAAGGTTATGACCTGGAGTTCAAGGATACCCGTTCTTGTGAAAGCTGTCATCTCATCACGCCGGCGGTGATTCTGGTTATCTTGAATTAATAATTCCCAGCTTGCTCCTGTTTGAGACAGAACATGACCCAGAGTCAGATGTGATTAAGCAGCTCCACTAATTACTATGGCTGTAACTGCGTGATTATTTCTTATGTATTGTGCCTTTTTATCCTTAGATTGGGGGGGAAAACAATAACAAAAACAGTTTTGTCTTGCACAGCTGGTGCAAGCAGTGTGACCCCTTATTTTTCATATTTTTCATCACCACTTGTTAGGTATCCTGAAAATTCTTGGTCAGTGCCAATACTGCTGTGGCGGGTACGTCACATGACGGCATCAGTGTTAATGTGAAGGGGTAATTTGATGGTTTCATTATGTAGGGCGTATTGCAGTGTTCCAGCGCTGTGTCGCCTTAGAGACCATATTGTTACACTTTAGAGTGTTATTGAGAGGCTATTGAATTTTTTGAGTGTCACTGTTACCTTCCCTGTTGCTATGATGAGGTTCTTTCTAAATCAGAATGCCCTGACCCTGTTGGCCGTAAATAACGTCATCTCTTTGCTACCTGTGTAGTGCATGTTTTTTTTTTTTTTTTTATTGTAATATAGGTTTTGAAGTAGGTCAAGAATTTTTTCCCCCGTACTTAATGCTTATTTGGTGACAGATGTTAGTTAACTTACAAAAACAAAGTTTCAGTTTGTATTGTTTGAGTTTTAATCTTAGTGAATAGGTAGAATTGTATTGGTATTATATCGATCGTATCAAAAGTTTCTAAAAAAGCATTATTGAGAATTCCATGTGTAAGGCACATTTCATGTTTTGAACCAAGCGCATTTTCAGTGACACTTTCAGGGGTTAAGTACGTACGGGTGGCACAGTCAGATTACAGCCAGTGTTCCTGTGTTTCCCCCCACAGAGATGCTACAGTTTGTTAGCAACCAGGTGGGCGATTTTCCCGACCTCTTCGAGGATCAGATACCACCTGGCTCCCTCCAACATGGCCCTGCCTCTCAGCCTCCGCTGGAAGCCCCCCCGACATCACAAACACCAGGGAATATGGGGTTTCAGACTCCTGCTCCACTCACACCTATGGCCGCCCCCCCTTCTGTGACTCCCCAGACTCCTGTGCAGCTCCAGGTTCAGGTCCGTGCTCCACCCCCGCTTCAGCCGCGGCCCCAGCCTGTCCAGCAGGTGGTGCCACAGCCTCAGCAGCAGGCACAACCCATCCAGGTGCAGAGCACGGCCGTCCCTGCAGTACAGACTTTGGGAGTGCAGGCCACAGGCTTTCCAATGCAGGCCCAAAGCCAGGCGCTGCCGATGCAGACCCAGGCCCCGACCGTGATGTTTGCCCCAGCCCTGACCAGCGCCTCACCCTCACGCTTTATTCAGAACTCTGTCATCTGCCACCAGAGCCCCACACCTGCTTTCCAAGGTGAATCCCTACTTATTCTGATTTAGAAATCTTTTATCATCCCGAATGATATTCTAATTCAAATACATTTTTTTGTGTTCATATTTTATTCAAATTTTTTGCATGTACAGCACTCGTAGAAAGTCTCGGGATGCTTGCTTAATTCAGTAGAAATGTTGCAAATTCATTGGATCAATAACAAAAAGTATTAGTTTATTCATTTGTTTATAAAATGTATGTGTTACTTTAGAAACAACCAGTAGCTTTAAGCAAAACATTCATGTAAAGTAGTAAGAATTTGAAACCCAAATTATAGAATCAAGCAAGCATTCCAAAACTTTATGAAACGCTTAACTTTGTCCCTCCCTTTGCTCACAGTTCTCCAACCACAGATGCAGAGCATCATGACGTCACCACAGATTCAGCCAATGGCCATCCAGCACCAGCGTGTCCTGACGACAGCCGGCCAGACCATACAGACGCTCTCGACGGCGCCTGCTACTGTACATGCAGTGTCGCAGCAAGTGCCAGTGAGTACAGCCGTACCCCGTGTGCTCATTTGTAAATGTCTGATATTTGGATAAAAATACTCAATTTGTGATTCCCTGGGTCAGATTGTAAAAAAAAAAAAAAAAAAGCCATTTCTTGATTTGACGCCGCAGTTATTGAGATACTTTATTGCCATTTGTTCAGGTACGTAGGAATTCTTCAGTTTTCAGATATTTTTCTCTCCTATGAGACTGGTGTATGGAGGTGAGTGTAGGTCAGTACAGTGTCAGTCATTTGTCCCACACCCGTGGAGCTCTTTTTGGGATTAAAGGCCTTGCTCAAGGGCCCCACAGTGAAATGATCACCCTGCCAACCAAAGGATTCAGGCCTGCGGCCTCATGATCCCTGGAATAAATCCCTAACCTCAGAGCCAAACACCACTTCCTGTTAAGATTTCCTTTTTATCATTCTCTGCTGCAGTTTTATATTCCCTCTGTCTTTCCTTAAGGTTCTGGTCCACCAGCCCCAGATTTTAAAGACGGACTCCCTGGTTCTGACCACCCTGAAGCCCGATGGCACCCAGGTCCTGTCCACAGTGCAGAACTCGGCTGGTATCGCAGCCCTGACCACCCCCATCCAGACCACGGCCCTGCAGGTCCCGGTATGTCGTTCTACTTGTCCATCCTTCACCATGTACTCATGCTCAGTTCGTCCACCCGTCTTAATTTTCTACCAGTGTGTCGTATCTGATTAATCTACCTTTTGATGAAGTGTTTACTAGTATTTCTCTACCTAGACTCTGATGGGTGGCAACATTCTGACCACACTTCCCGTTGTGATGGGGGGTGGAGACAAGCTGCCAATCAAGCAGCTGTCGTCCGGGGCATCCGTTGGCGGAACCAATGGCAGGGCCGGCACAGACCAAGGGGCGGTGACAGGGATGGGGCTGGGAGTAGGGATGAAGGAGGGCGAGAAGAGGACCACCCACAACATTATTGAGAAGAGATACCGTTCCTCCATCAATGACAAGATCCTGGAGCTCAGAGACCTAGTGATGGGCAACGATGCCAAGGTGGGTCACTGGGGAAGGTATTTATGATACAGAACTTTGTTCTAAAACACGTCAGAAGTTCTGTAATAGGGGTTTTGTATGTGTGTAAGGCGACGTCTATGGAACTGGAAATTTAAGTAGCGTGAATGCTAAAGAAATAAGCTTCAAATTTGTGTTTTCAGAAAGCCTACTGTCTGATTAGATTGGTTGTTGTATTTCTCAATTTAACCTGCTATTTAACGTGCACCTTTTCTTTGTAGATGCACAAATCAGGAGTGCTGAAGAAGGCCATTGATTACATAAAGTACCTTCAGCAGACCAATCATAAGCTCCGGCAAGAGAACCTGGCCCTCAAGATGACCAACCAGAAAAACAGTAAGTTCTGGTGTTTGACTGTGTCCTGTGATGTGCTTGGCCCACTCCTGGGTCCCATATAACCGTGTTTTTAAAGTGAAAAGAGATTTCGAATGTCGAGTGATGAGCTGCTCTCCCCTCTCCTGCTCCAGAGTCCGTGTGTCTGACGGACGACACCGAGATGAAACCGGAGATGGTGATGATGTCGCCCCCTGCCTCGGATTCGGGCTCAGGGTCTCCCCACCAGTTTTCCCCTTACTGCGTGGACTCGGAGCCTGGAAGCCCTCTGCTGGACCATGAACAGGTACATGCTGGTGGAGCTGAGAGGGCCATGGATGGTCAGCCATGGGATGTTCTTCTCGTGGTGCTATAAGGAGGCTGCCGGTGGGTGTGTCTGGGTGCTGGAGTGAGCGGCAGAGCGTTGTCATTTTTGCCTGCAGATGAAGTGCGAGCCCGACTCGCCTGCCTCGGTGGGCGTCATGGACCGCTCCCGCATCCTCCTCTGCGCTCTCACCTTCCTCTGCCTGTCGCTCAACCCACTGCCTTCCCTGCTGGGCCCCGGGGCCCGGAGCGGACCCGAGTGGCCCCCTGCTGCTGTGGGACACGTGCCCTCCAGAACCATGCTGGGCCTCTCTGGTCAGACCCAAAGCTTTGGTGAGCGCTGCGATGATGCCATAGAAACTAGCGACGGTACAAGTTAGGGTCAGTTCTTGCTGCTGGGCTGTTGAAGTCCCTGGAGCCGACAGGGCGGGACGATGGGTTTTGTGACGCCTTTCCGTCCCTAAACCTGCAGCGGTGTGGCTCTGGTGGCTGCTGCCCTGGGTCAGCGTGTGGCTGCTGAGCGGGGTGGGCGCCGTCTGGGGCTGCGTGAGAGTGCTGTACCTGTGGGAGCCGGTGACGCCGCTGCACTCGCCCAAGTCCGTCTGCTTCTGGAGGCACCGCAAGCAGGCCGACCTCCAGCTGCTGAGGGTGAGCGCCGGGGGGGTCTCTACGCAGAATCTCTCTACCTGCTGTTATTTTGATCTTCTGAAGCTCCGTTTCAGCAGTATAACAGTGATTGTGTCTCCTCCCCACCCCCCCCCAACCGCTTAGGGTGACTACACAGCCGCAGCCACCAGCCTGCAGACCTGCCTCTCCGTACTGTCCAGGGCCCCTCCGGCAACCAGCCTCGACTTGGCCTGCTCCCTCTCCTGGAATCTGATTCGCTACTGCCTGCACCGGCCCACCCCCCTGGGCTGGCTGGTGCGTCAGATTGGTGGGAAGCACAAAGGGGAGGAGTCACAGACCAGCTCACGGGATGCTGCCCTGGTGTACCAGAGACTCAGCCAGCTGCAGCTCACAGGTGAGCCCTGTCCTGTTACTCCGCCTACACTCTGCGTACTGCAGACGGATCACCCTGAGAGACCCGCTTCTGGACCGCAGCGGTAATTTGCCAGGGTGAGAGCTGGGAACTCTACCTTCAATGGAGTAATTGATGCTTCCATGTCTCATTCTCGCCAGTGCGGGAAAGCAATAAAAAAGGCCAATAGGATGTTGGGGTATATCTCCAGGTGTGTAGAGTTTAAGTCAAGGGAGGTAATGCTAAGATTATACAATTCCTTGGTGAGACCTCACCTAGAATATTGTGTGCAGGTTTGGTCACCATATCTTAAAAAGGACATTGCGGCCTTAGAAAAGGTGCAGCGTAGGGCCACAAGAATGATTCCTGGTCATACGAGGAAAGGTTAGTTGAGCTAAATCTGTTCAGCCTCAAGCAAAGGAGACTGAGGGGGGACATGATCCAGGTCTATAAGATTCTAACAGTTTTGGATGCTGTTCAACTGAATAGTTACTTCACCATTAGTTCAAATACAAGAACTCGTGGCCATAGGTGGAAATTAGCGGGAGAACATTTCAAACTGGATTTAAGGAAGCACTTCTTTACACAGCGTGTAGTCAGAGTATGGAATAGTCTTCCTGATAATGTAGTGCAAGCTGAATCCTTGGGTTCCTTTAAATCAGAGCTAGATAAGATTTTAACAACTCTGAGCTATTAGTTAAGTTCTTCCCAAGTGAGCTTGATGGGCCGAATGGCCTCCTCTCGTTTGTATAGCTCTTATGTTCTTATGTTCTAAACAACAAATAAAGGTCGGCTCACGGTAGGCGTCCCCCCTCCCCCACCCAGGGAAGCTGCCGCAGCGCAGTGGCCTTTGGGGCTTGTCCCTGTCCCTCAGCGCGGTGAACCTGAGCGAGAGCGCCCGAGGAAAGGTGCCCCCCCCCCAGCAGGCCGAGATCTACGTCACAGCGGCCATCGCGCTCCGCAGTGTGCTGGGCCACCACCTCTCCTGCCTGCCTGTAAGCGTGTCCTATCCGCCGTCCTTTTCCTCTCTCTCCTTCTCGTTTTCTTTCCGTTCTTATCTTCTTCGTCTCTCTCTCTCCTCTTCTCCCATCCCCCTTTTCAGGGTTACCTGTTGAGCTGTGCTGACAGCCTGGCCTGTCAGTCAGACTCCAGGCAGGCCCCTGATTGGCTGCGCTGGCTCTTCACCCCATTGGGCAGGCAGTTCTTCCTGAGCTGCGATTGGTCCGTGAAGTCTGCCAACCGAGAGGGTGTCTATACTTCCCAGCGAGACCCAGGTGCATTATGGTTAATTATCCTTATTATGTCTCTGTAACGTTTCCCAGTAAATTGCATCCTTTGCTGAATATGCTGCACTTACAGCTGTTACACTATAATCTGACCTTGTGGGCTCTGGATCTTCTGAGCTATTTGTCTTGTACCACACACGCCATGCTGACGCCCCCGCCCCGATCCCTATGTCCCACGCAGCCGACCCCATCGCCCAACTGCACCGCTGCTTCTGCGAGAAGTTGCTGGAGAGAGCTGTACACTCACTGATCCAGCCACACGCCGACGCCAAGATGCAGAAGCCTCAGGAGGGCACAGGGTAACGCCTTCCTCAGCTCGGGGAGGCGTGGCAGCTTGTTTGGGAGGCGTGGCAGCTTGTTTGGGAGGCGTGGCAGCTTGTTTGGGAGGCGGGGCAGCTTGGTTGGGAGGCGTGGCAGCTGGGTTGGGAGGCGGGGCCTATGGGTGTATCTCTGAGACAGTGTGATGCCCGTGTGTGATGCTTTTAATGACTTTAATTATTAAAATGGCATTTAATTTAAATGCTGAACCTCCTCTCCTCCCATAGTGAGTTCTCCAGCGCCTTGGAGTTTCTTCATCTACTGAACAGCTGCACAGAGGAGTCTCCCTCGCCCTCCCCTCCCTTCCCTCCCCCTGCAAGCCACGGCAGGGCATCAGGTCCGCACCCACAGGCACACTTATCCCATCCCAGGATCATGTTGCATTGAAGTGCTATTATATAGTAACTCTTTATTTTGGTAAATGTGATTCCGGATGTATCTCTCCATGACCGGTGTGCTCACCCCCGCCCCTGTCACAAGCAGTGGGAGACCCCGTGTGTCGCTGGTGGGCGATGGTCCTAGAGGCTGTGGCGTGCTGGCTGCAGGGTGACGACGAGGCCGTCAGGTCCCTGCTGGCCGAGGCGGAGCGTTTGCCGAGAGCCCTGCACACACTGGAGTGAGTAGCACACTTGCATGTATATACACACACATGCATGCGGTGTCAGAAATACTGACCCGTAACCATGGCGACATGCCGCCCCCCCCCCCCCCCCCCCCCCCCCCCTCGCAGCCACCCGCTCCCCAAAGCTGTGCAGCACCTGTGTCGGGCCGTGCAGATGAGCCTGAACGCCCAGAAGGGAGAGGCGTGGCTGGGCTGCCTAGCGGCCTGCGAGCGCTCCAGCGGCCACCTGCAGGCCAGCATCTCCCTGCCCCTGGGCCAGAGTGCCGGCTGGCTCAACAAGGTGCGAACGGGCCGGGGGGGGGGGCATATGTGTAGGGGTGGGAAAGTAAGCCTGGGAATGTGCCACTTGGACCTACAGTGGGTACAATTGTGGAAACACTTCCAAATTTCAGAGACTGTAGAACTTTATTCAAGTTACTTATTTAATCATCCATTCTTTGATTGTTTATAAACATTACCGCCAATATTCCTGTAATTTTTAAAGCGTAATGCCAAAAATGCTGGGTTTCCACAGTTTTGCCCACTAGTATGAGTGTGAGTGGCAAAGTGACTACTGTACAGTACTGATCGACTGCCCTGCTTGTTTGATTCGGTGCCTTAATTTTCTGTGAATTATCTACCTTGTAAGTGGCTGACCTGCACACAAAGGGGCGCACTGACCAGCTGACAGGGGAAATAAGGTTGGCGCAAGCTGGGGGGGGTGGCTGTGGTGCATTGTAGTTGCATTGCATGCTCCTCAGGCCGGTGCAATGTGTCTGCAGTGCAGTACAGAGGCCTCCTGAGATGCTGCGCTCCCCCCACACGCTGTGCCCACCCCATCACCCCAATCACCATGTTCGGCTCATCTCTGCACTTTCACTTAAATGTCCCTCTCGTGTCTCTTTGTCCATGCAAGGGGGTGGAGCTCCTGGTATGTGACCTCTTGCTGACCCTGAGGACCAACCTATGGCAGAGAGGAGGCGGAGCTAATGGGGAGCCAGGCCCCGCCCCCAGCTCCCAGCTGGCTGGATTTCAGCATGACCTGAGCTCTCTGCGTAAACTGGGCCAGTGCTACAGACAGGCTCAGCACAAGGTATGGTGGGATAACTGACTCCCCTTCAACTGTGAACTGGGGAGGCTCTCTTGTTAGCAGGAGCACAGCTGCGAGAGAATTTGAGAAATTAGGGTGATACTTCACTTCAGAAATCTTGGAACTGTGGTTATTGTGTGGAAGGCTGTAAGAATGTTTCAGGAACCGTGTCGTACCCATGAGCCGCAGAGCAGCGATGATGATGATGATGATGATGAAGACCTTGAATTCATGTCATCCTGCAGCTCTTCCTCCATGAGACGACCATGCGGCTGATGGCGGGGGCCAGCCCCACCCGCACACACCAGCTGCTGGAGCTCAGCCTGCGCAGACGCAGCCAGAACCGCGGCAGTGGGGCAGGTGAGTGCAACACCCCCGGAGACACTGAGCTGCTTGCCAATCTGCTTTTGAATAATTCATCTTTTCCACCACCAGAGGGCGACTGCATGCTCGGAGAGCGGGAGCGAGCCCACGCCATCCTGCTAGCCTGCCGCCACCTGCCCCTGCCGCTGCTCACGCCGCCCGGCCACCGGGCGCGGCTGCTGGCCGAGGCCCGACGCACACTGGAGCGTGTGGGAGACCGGCGCTCGCTTCAGGACTGCCAGCAGATCCTGCTGCGGCTTGGCGGCGGCACGACCATCGCTGCCTCCTAATGGAGGAGACGTGTATATACCCACATAAACAACAGACACACCCGCCCAGACCCACGCGCCGACAACTACACACTGACGCTTACGGACATTCACAACGGAAAGCAGTACTGTTACATCACTGTAAGCCAACGTTAAACACGTACGACATGCTCTGTCTGTGATTACGCTCTCTGTATACATCTGCCTACGGGTTTTCAGCATTTTCGAGCACTGGGGGCCTAGATTTCAGACCCGAGACTCAAAGGGCAAACACTTACCCTGTTAAGTTTTGGGCTTGTTCAGCCAGAATAAACCTGACTGACTTGCCACAAAGAGATATTTGGTGGCCAGTAAAGGGTTCTGCCTTAAATAAGCTGTCAGTTCGTCTAAGGATCGGGACAGTGCCGTATAAAATGGATGTTTAATCAGTACTTGTGTATACCTACCTCATATAGTGATACAGGCAAACACAGGACCATGAGAACTGACATAGACTGATTATAAATAAATCAAATAATTTATGGTGTCAATTTACTGTAGTTCCATGAGCTTAGGCCTATTGTACCATTATAAAAATGAAAGTTTAAAAACAGCATAGGGAAATTCCAGCTTCATCGAAATGTCAGGCATAGTTACACAAGCAACCCCCTGCATGGGCAACCCCCCCCCGATCTGTAAATAGCTGTATATAGTTAGCTACGGCTGGCGGTGTGAGAGAACTAGCCTACGGTGATCCAGACGTCCGCGAAAGCCCTGAAGCAGTGGGGGCTGGTGTCCTCTTCTGGAAGGAGGAAACCAAGCTTTAAAATCTTCAGACGTTTCGCTTTTTTTGTTTTTTTTTTTTTAATTCCCCCTCCCTCCACTAGGGTGTGGCTATTGCTTCAAGAACTTCCTTGAAACTTTTATTACATCAACTATTTGTTATTTAATGCTATTATTATTATTATTTTCCATGTTGTCATAAATTTTCCTGTTTTCTGAAAGTCGTGTTTAATTGTGATTTGTTTTTCAATGCAAAGTTGATGTTTTTTCGTGATACAGTAGCAGTGCTGGACGTCTAGGGGTTGGTAGGTTTATTATGCATATAAGTGTCACAGTCTTGAAGGACGTTAGGAAGGAAGTTAATTTTTTTTAAATACAGTATAATTGTATTATAGCACTCAAATGTGGACCTAGCACAAACGATCCTTTCCCCTTTCCATTTTTCCCCCAAGGTGAAATCTTGAATAAACATTTACTTGGGCCTCAGTCTTAACTAAATCTTGACTTTTGAAGTTATTGGCAATCCAGCAGTCAGTATGTTCAGCTAAAAATATTGCACTGTAAAATTGTACACTGTACCACAGCTGCTTAGTTTTATATTCTAATTAGTTCTTTGCCGGTTTTCTTCTTTTCATTTCAATGTTTTTTTTTTCCTGCTGTCTTCTTTTTTTTTTGAGAGTTCATATTCCAGTGGATTTTTTTTTTTTTGTTAAATAAAAGCTGGTGAGAGTGGACAGTGTCTCAGAGCCTTTTACTTTATCGTCCCGTTTGATGTCTCCTCAGAAAAAGATGCATGGTTGGGATGGTACCTTCTCACCAGACATGCTGTTGGATTAAGTTTATCTAAATCTGCCCCTACACGGCCATGGTGCACACTGTCTTATGCATCATCCTGAAGTGTATGAAGAAGTCAAGCTCCTCCCCCATTACCAGTGAATCAGCGCACGGCCTCATGGGAACTGTAGTAAAATAAAGTATATGCGCACATAACAGCACAATCCCTACAATCTGTTTCCATAGCTAAGAGTATGTTCAATATTACCACATATACAAATACTTAATTGAGGAAAAAAAAACACGAAATTAGTAAATATGAAATGTATTAATTATCGGCTACCCACAATAGGTTAAATTATGTTTTAAAGTTTCCACTGTGGCTCTAGTTAGGGTTGTGATTTTGAAAAGCAATTTTTAATTATATATATATATATATATATGTGTGTGTATATGTATGTTGTATAGCTTCTTAAAATCGTTATAATTCCGCGTCTCCTCTATAACTTCATATCCTATGTAATGTTTCCAACCCGGATACGTATCTTCGTGGCCCCGGAAGCACATAGTCACCAAGCTCCGAGCACTACACGTGCGCGAAGAACAAACCTGCTTGGTATTTCTTTCTCTGAGTGAAATGGCCAAAAAGAAAAAATCAAAGCCGGGAGGAAAGAATAGGGAGAACAAATGTATTGTCACGTTCAACGAGACGGATCGACAGTAAGTTTACCTAACGCAGTGTTTATAAATCTGAGACATATAACAGAAAGCCCATACAGATGTTATTTACATTATAGTCGTTTTTAACAGTTTAGGAAACGACTGATGAAGTACGGGGTTCCATGTAAAGCTAGTTGCAATACATATTGTTTAGCAAGTGAATATGCATGCCTGACACTCGTTATTTGTATTATTTCTCTATTATCTTTGGCAGATATTACGCTGTTACTCGTTTACTGTAAATATTGAAGTTATTACATTTTTGTTGTGATGTACTTCATTTCAAAACATCTACCTGTCTCCTCAGAGAATACCTGACAGGATTTCACAAGAGGAAAGTGGAGAGACGGAAAGCTGCCGTGGAGGAAATTAAGAACAAACTTAAGGAAGAACGGAAGAGGGTTAGAGAAGAGGTACCATGGGAAATGTAGTGTTGTCCAGTGGGATTTGGTGTGAGAGTAAATCGTTTTAGCTCATTTTGTTCATTGCTTGGGTTGTGAGCATCTGTAACTTGATGATTAGGGACGCGCACTTGTAATTGAAAGATTGCAGGTTTGAATCCCCGACCAGCAAGGCACCACTGAAGTACCCTGAGCAACGTACCGCCCCTAAGCACTGCTCCCCGGGTGCTGAATTAGCTGCCCCCTGCTATGTCACATATCTGTTAAATGCAGAGAACACATTTTGTTGTTGTACAATGTGTGCTGTGGTGTATCAACAATGACAATCACTAAATTCAATTCAAATGAAGTTTTTAGGATTAGGACAAGAAAGGCATTGTTATCTGTACCTTTTCAGTGTAGTGTTCCCAGAAACATAATGGTATAATTTTATTTAGAAGTAATACAATCTTTATCCTTTCTTATAGAGACATAAGGAGTATTTGAAGATGCTGAAGGAGCGAAATGAGGCCCTCAGTAAGGGACCGGGAATGAAATGTGTCTGATATATTGTCGTTTTTGATGAACATGTACATCCACTTTTTGACGATTGTGCCCATTGTATGATGATATCCTGGCAATTCATACACGATCACATCCCTGGCCTATGTTCTTGTGTGATATTTCTACCTAGAAGAAGCAGATGAACTGGAGAATGTGATTACTAACACGACAGAGTCGCATCAGTATGATTTCCCTAACCACACTGTCACCGTGACAACCATCAGTGACCTGGACCTCACCGCGGCCAGTCGTCTGGAGCCAGTGGATGCTCAGGTATCTGCATTTTCTTTGGTGTTTGCAGATTCCACCCTCCGTTGAATGTTATTGCCCAGCCTGACAGGTATTTAATGTTTCAACTGCATGCAGAACTGACTCTCATTGTTCTCTTTTGTGCATTTTTGCTTAACCAGGCAGATGACGTTAATGAAAGTGAGAAGGAAGATACAATAAGCACAGTGCCAAAGACAGCCAGAGCACCGATACTTTCCAAAAAGTAGGACCGCCCTCCTGTAACACCTGTATAATGTGTCTGAGTGACTCTGTGCAGCCTCCTTAGTCAGGTTTCCCTTCATGTTTTGCATCCCAAGGGGTTCATGGGGGGGGGGGGCTGGAACCTGTCCAAGGTGGCATATGGCTCAGGGCAGGGGAACATACTGGAAGGACACACATGCACAATAGTCGGTTTAGAGGTGCCAGTTAGCCAAATTGCTAATCTGTGGACTGTTTGGTGGAAACCAAAGAACCAGAAGAAGCCTGCAACCTCAAAGCCAGAACAGTGAGCATTAAAAACTGCTTTATTCCCTGTGGCCCCTCCCAGCCTAAGACTGGCTCTGTTAAAAGGGCTAATAACTCTGAATCTAAATTTATTTATTTTCTGCGCATTCTGCTTCCATGACAAACAAAACAAATTCACCACCAATTACTTGGTTAAGTGCATCTCTTTGTGTTCTCTCTGATTTAAAATGTCATGTTTATGTTTTTACATATAAATTATAGCGCACACATATTTATGTGTGTGTGTATGTGCGTGCGTGCATATAAAGCAGTATTTATATTTTGTTTGTTCTCAATGGCATTATGATCAACAGCGACGGTATTTCACCACAGCGTATGACTCCATGCATTATTTGTCCGAAGTTGAGACCAAATTATACGTTTTATACTTTTTTAATATATATATTTTTTTGATACAAGGAGAATATGCAGATTCCTGTAAGGAGTTGTAGCGATCCCTCTAAGAAACCTTACACGTGACGTTTCTCTTGCTTACTAATTTCTCCACTCTTGTGCACCCTGCCCAACCCCCCCTCCAGGCTGTCCTCTCTCACTGCCTCCCTCCATGCTCGCACTAAAAAGTGGAAGAAGAAAGGGACGGTGAGGGACCGGGGGCAGGAGAGATCAGGAAGAGGCAGGGGGCCAGACAGGAAGTTGGGGCCCACAGACAGGAAGTCCAGACTGGGGCGGACCAGCAAGAAGCAGCGGCGCAGACGGACGGGGAGGAAGACCAACCACGAAGACTGAGAGGGACGGGGAGGTGGTGGTGTCGGGGTCACCTGGGCTTTTCGGGGACCAAGCAGTTGTGATGAGCTCCACGGTGGAAGATATGCCAAGCTAATGACCAGGGTACATTAAAGGGGCTCGGGAAGAAATGGCAAGTAAGAGCATCATAAGACCTCTTCATGGACTGTGACCTGCGAACCCTGCGCTGTATTGTAGTGATGATGAGCAGTGACATCTGTCTTTTGATAATTTCTTTACTTGTGGTGCTTTTGTACTATACTCGTGTATAAACCTGAATAATTAATGTATTCACATTGTTAATAAAATCCTACCTGTGTTGTCTTTTTGACTACAGCTCAGTTGACAGGATTATTGTGTCTTCCAGCAACTGAAGAAATAAATCGAGTGATATGATATAACCCGAGATCATCTTAATACAGTTGATAACGCATGAGAGAAATGTTAATTTACAAATTTCACAGACACTTGAACCGTCCAGTTGCCCAGTTTATTAAAACCCCACCATTTTACTTATTTATGTAGACTTTTGTAAATGTGTGCTTGCCATCTGTGCATCCCAAAGGTCCCTCCTCTACTTTTCTACAGCAGATGATATTCAATACAGCCATTGGGCAAGAAACCGTCAGGCCATGCGTGCCATGTTGGCTCTTCTGGGTTATTGGGGGGTGTTATGTAGCAGTCCCCGTCTGAGCCAAAATGGCTGGCCATGTGGGTAGCAGTTTTCCCTTTGTTTGAGCAGCCAATGAGCTTGTGAACCCCAGGGGGGATTTAAGTACCCCAAGAACAGGCCTGCCTCGAGTTCTGCTGGACAGATTATTTTCTGTGTTTAAATGGATTGGATCTGACCGAGGGTGACTGGCATGGGAGGTATTGTTAGAAACTCTTACTTATTGACTTTTCTTGCTGTAAATGGACTTGGAACATGCTATCATTTATTATTCCAGAACTGCACATTTTTTATTGCAATGAATGTATAATGCAAGTCTTGATGCAGTGTTTTTCCATAGTGGTGAAATTGTGGATTAAGTTAATTGAAACGCTATAAAGTGTATAGGCGCTCCTTGTTGTGTTTTCGTTCCGGTAACGTGGGTAATGACCTCGCTGTTCCGCCCGAATGAGTCTCTGGCTCTGCTGAGCTGTGAAATACAGTCCACCGGGCTGGGCGCAGCTGCAGTTACAGCCCTGCTGCATACGGCAGGGCTGCATCTGTCCAACTGCGATGACAGGGACCTGTAGTGAACAGAAAGCAGAGTTTTGTCTAAGTGTTTTTTGCAGGCAGCTTTTTTAAAATAAATTTCTTCCAGTGCCACTGTCTCGCCATGGCGGGATCAATAAGGCCTCTTTTTCCAGTTGTGTATTTCTGTGTTATGTTGATTCCTGTCTCGTACAACACCGAGCTGTGCTTATAAATCCCTTGTTTTGATAGTAGGGTTTGGGAAGGGCAATGAGTGATACCGTGTGCCCCTTCCGGACACGACATGCCACTTGCCGGCGAAGACCTCTACTGCCGCAAATTCCAGCCCAATATCTTCGACCCGTCGCGTTGCCAGACCTGCTTGAGGCTCAGGCACCTGCATGCCAACGTGCCTCCGCGGGTGAGTCAGAGACAGCGGTGTTCCATATTTGGGGGATTTCTACATGGGCTGGAACGGAGCTAAGGAGGAAATGGGCAGAACCAGGCAGAGTGAGAACAGTAGGGAGTAGCAACATGAGAACAAGGAGTCAAGACTCCGTTGATTTGAAGGTCGAAGCACGTGGAACATCCATCTATTTCCCAAAATCCTAATTTGGGCCCGGAACACAGAAGTCCTCGAGTCCTGACCGTATTTCTGAATATATTAAACCCACGGCAGGTGAGGTTATACCCAGTTAGACGCTACGCCAGTGCTGCTGGAGGATTGTTAAAAACCACAGGCGGGGAATGGACAGGAGCACACAATCTGATTATAAATTAACGAGAACAGGTAGCTTACACTGTCATTGGGAATAGCAGCGTAATATGAAGACGGAGTCTGCATGAGACGGGGTAATGACTGCGATCCGTTTGCTCATAAATTCAAAGTCATCATTAGGAACGCTAGGATCCCTCCTTATGAACTGGGGCAGTCACCTGTAGGAGGCCCATGGCTTTAGCAGGCCCTCTAGCTCCATTTTGTTAGTCATCTGGCTGCTTGGTTCTCTCACCCTTGTCTGTCTTTTAGTTTGTCCTTTTAATTTTTTTTGTTTTTTTGTTTTAGTGTTTATATAGTCATTCGGGTGAGTGGATAAAATGTTCAAAAGATTACGTACTTGGTATGAGGAAAACAGGTGAAAAGAGATGAAAAAGGAAAGAAAGTGAAAAAAATTCTTTAAAGGTGTTCATGTAAGAACATTTTTTGACTTGAACAATTAAGGGGTAAAATGAGTAGCACTTCTGTGAAGTGTGTGTCCTGAAAGACGGCCGTGATACCCGACAGACAAACATCAGAAAGTCAGTCGAGAATTAGCACCTCAAACCATTGCATTTAGCAGACGGGGAGATCAAGAAGATCAAGAAGACTGAGCCTATAAGAAACATAAAACAAAAAAGCATTGCAATTAAATAATCATAAGATAGCTTGAGTTACAGCAGTGTAACCCTGTAATCTAGAGAAGGAAAGAGAGCAGAGACCGCTAAGGACACAGAAGACGTTGTGTGCCTTGTCTGAAGTCTCTGGCTTCGCAATGGATTCATAAATAGGAGCTTCAGACCAACATTATACTAAGTAAGTTCATATGTCTATTAGTGTTTGCGTTTCCATATCAGTATACATTTGATTTTCATAGATTATTTATGTTAAAGTGCAGCATTCTGGAACTAAAGGGTATCTAATCTCGGGAAGTTATTTAGTCAAAAGATACCAAACCCGGAGAATTGACTGGTCGTATTACTTGCAACAAAATTGTTGGTCAACTTTCTAATCATGAATTTTACCTTTAATCAAGATGAATTTCTGGTACTTTAAATGTCTTTTCATGTACTGGACTACCACAACATCTCAAATTTACCTATATTATTCCAATATTCCAAAGCAATGTGCAAAATAATCATTCACTATTTTTCTTTCATTGGATGTTTATTTTTATCCTCCACCAATCAGGACGATTCAGATGACCTGTCAGTGGTGAGCAGCTACTGTGACATCAGCAGGGATCACCTGGGCTGCGAGGGGGGTTCCCTGTGCATACTGAGTCCTGACTGTGAACTTTACATCTGTGACGAGGACGACAGCACAGACAGGTTGAATTATTAGACCGAAATTCCGTGCTTGAGTTTATTGTGAGGGAAGAGCTTATCTGAGCTCTGTATTTGTACTGTGTCTCTTTTGTGATTGTGTTTGCTAGTGTTGATCTTTATGTTGACCTCATGTCCTCAGTCCTCTAAGTACCTGATACGTTTCCTTGCCTCCACTTTGTTTTAGCTACCAATCTGCCCTCTTTGTCTGTTTTTTCTCTTGTCACTTTCTCCTTCCCAACTTCCCTATTTTTATCCCAACTGACCAGCACTGAAGATCCATCTGACTTTCCTGAACTCAGTGATTCGCTCAGCCAAGACGACGACGAATTGACCCACCAGGACGGAGCATCTTACCCCAACATGACTCGTCTGCACCCAGCTCCCCACAGACCCAACCCCCAAGCTTGGATGGAAGAGGCACGGAGCAGAGATGGCTTTTCTAGACAAACAGGTTTGTCAGTCATGGAGTCCTTGCTGCTCCTAGACTCCTCACAATGTATTATTGTGACACCAATCAAGAACCATAAGAACTGAACCATGTGACTTAATTGGATATATTCCTGACTATTGAAAAAATGGTGCGATTTTTGCCTATACCATAGACTGTTGTACAAATCCAGCTCCAAACTTCATGTTCCTCTCATGACTGGTCTTTACTTTCCATCAGGAGCAAAAGGACAAAAAGACCATGACAGTGGCTACCTTTCTCTGGGAAGGGCTGGAGGTATCCATTCCCTTAAGGAGAAGAAGCCACCAGCACCATATCGGCACTTAGAAACAGGCCACCCCCTACCCAGCCACCGGAGTCCAGAACCCAAAGCTGCTATCCCCTTTCGGAACCCAGACCTCGGTGTACCCTCTCAGAGGCGGAGCTCGGAGACACAGGGATATGATCCATCTCTGGAAAATTCCCCACCTTCGGGGTTCTCAGAATCCAGCTACGGATGGAATTTTGACTCAGGACAGAGAAGCCTAAGCCCCACCCCTTTTAAACAGGCAGAATCTCTGGAGTCATCCCAGCATAGACGCTGTGACAGCTCTTACTCTAGAGGACAGCAGTCGTCTTACTCTCCAACCCATCAGCAACCCGGAAATTTGCAAAGGCAGGGCTGTACGTTTTCTCGATCATCTTCTCCATCCCGGAGTGCCTCTCCATTCAGACAAGCTGACCAGTCAGGCATGTCCAGCAGAAGGAATTTTGACTTTCCTCAAGGGTCCAGTCAAGGGCCTCGAACACCATCCCAAAATTCTTATGGACGAGGTTTGGATATTGCTAATGTATCAAAAAACTTTAAATCAGTTGCCAACTCTATTGGCTCATATTCACAAACTGACTCCTTTGCAAACCTAAGAAATTCTCTCAGGAAAAAGGATGTGAATGTCTCCAGTGGAATTAGGTCAAACAGTCGCGACTCTTCGCCATCAAAACGAGGGTACGATACTCCAAGCCAAACTCTCCTCCGAAAAACCGACACAAAAACCACTCCTAACAGTTATAACCGTGATAGCCGTAGCTCCTCCCCATCTAGGAAAATAAATGAGACTCCAAGCCAAACCCTCCTGCGAAAAACAGACTCAAAATTAGCCACTAATAGCTACAGTAATAACAGCCGCAGCTCTTCTCCTTCTAGGAAAGGGTATGACACCCCAACCCAGTCTATCCTGCGAAAAACCGATACAGGAATCTCTACCAATACCTCAAGCCGTGACAGCCATGGTTCGGCCCCTTCAAGAAGAGCCTGTAATACCCCAAGTCAAACTATCCTGCGGAAATCGGAGGCAAGAGGCACTTCTGGCATTCAAGGCCATAATAGCCAAATTTCTACCCCTTCCAGAAGAGTTGGGGAGCGACTGAAAAAAGACTCAAACATGCCCTGCAACAGTCGAAGTCTCGACAGCCGGGGCTCATCTCCCTCCAGGCTAGGTCATAACACATCAAACAATTCCATCCTACGTAAAACCGAGACGAAAAGTGTAGCAGGGATTCATGGTCGTGGCAGCAGGAGTCCCTCCCCTTCAAGACAAAGTCATGATTTGCCTCGTCCATCATTTCCACCTAAAACCAGGGCAAACAGCTTATCTAATACAACAGCCTACGACAGTCGTAGTTCGTCTCCTTCACGTAAAGTCTCCGATACCAACCAGCCACCCCCGAGGAAAGCTACCGATATCATTTGCAGACCGGGGTCAGTATCCTCTGAAATAAAGAAAACTTCTTCTCAATCAAGTCCCTCTCCAGGCTCCTGGCGCAGCTCGTCAAACTCGCTCCACAGTCCCCCCATCTCACGTAGCTCTTCCCCATCCAGGAGGCAAGGTCAGGGACAACATATCTCCAAACCAACCTTCATCACCTCTGAAGCCAACAGCAGGGGCGGCAGTAGGAACAATAGCAGACAAAGGAGTCTGGAGCCCCATACCCCCAGCCCAGAACATCGACAGGCATTTCATCATAACCCAGCTCTCTCCCCCCAGTCACAGCGGTACACTTCTTCCCAGAGTTCCCTGGAGTCTGAGTCCAGCCACCTCTCTGGGGGATCAATGTATGTGGGGCTGAACAAGGAGGAGTATGCTCTCATGGCTGACCTTCCTAAGGTCAAAACAATATATGAAAGGGAAGGTCCAGGGCAGTTTGGAAGATCTCAGAACCATGTCTTGGGAAAGGAGGAACTGTATAAGCCTGCAAGGTAAGCAATCATCTGTATACAATCGGTCTAGGTGATTGACATAAATGACAAGCAGTAGGGATTAAGGAGTGGTCTGGCAACACAAAAGTGAATAATGAAAACGGAGTGTGATATTCAAGAAGAAGAAGACAAAGGTCCTAATGGGAGAGATATAGCAGAACTGTTTTTTTTCCATCATTTTCAGCAATGTTAGCATTCCACAGTGTAGTGTGGGGACTACAGCCAATCCTGTAGGCCTGGCTGCTGGGCTACAGCCAATCCTGTAGGCCTGGCTGCTGGGCTACAGCCAATCCTGTAGGCCTTCTTTTCCAAAAACTGATGGTATCAGATGCTCATCAGCCGGTTTCATTGCAGAAACAACTTCTGCTGAGCAATAAGCAGTGCTGGTCCTTGCCAATGTAACTTCCTAAGTGACTACCACCACAGCGCCCCCCCGTCTGAGGCAAAAAGGCACCCTAGGCAACTGCTTATGTCACCTATAGGATTGACTAGACCTGGCAATAATCTAATAAGGACCTCCTTAGAGATATAGAGGCAGAGGTGTTATACGCAAGCTAACTGAATGGTTGCGGTTTTATTTACCTACATTTAGAGCAAAACAGGCATCTATTCTACAGTCAGTCACTCAGTCCTCAAGGAGGGCTGGTGCAAAAATTTGCTGACATCAACAATTATATGGCAGGAGAAGCTACTGACTCACAAGTTGATGGCTTGATGGTACTATAGCATGGACGCTGCTGGAATTTGAACCGATCGCTTCCAGGTTAAAAGTCAAGGTTGTTGTCTTCTGCACTACCTCCTGCTTAAACACTACAGCCCTGGGCTAGTGTCTCTGTCTGTCTTCATGTACAGTATTAAAGCTCGTGGTCTGTTACAGTCACACCCAGACAAAGGAAGTCTACAGGGACCAGGCTGGGCTGGGTGAACGGGGGAAGGCGAATGGAAGGGAATGTGACCAGGGGCAGCGGCACAGGCAGGACAGAGAGGCTGGCCAGTTAACAAGAACCCAGTCCAGCAACTCTCTCCATACACAGGTGTGGATTAAAAAAAAGGACACAATGATACATGCTGAAGAATAGTGTTAATGCTCCTCACACAGCAGTAGACACGAAGCATTCAGTGAGCAGAATGTTCTGTGGTGGATTACAATAATATAATAATGCAATATAATAACCACATTCAATACAAAAGAAGCCCACAATGGGACTGTTCCTTTTGAGTCTATGGTATGTTAATTGACCTTAAGTGCTCTGTATAAGAATACTAACACATTTAAGTATGATACACTGAAAAAAAACAATATAGAACGACGATATAGTAGTATGGCTTGTTGTATGTTATCACACAATATAACAAGAACCTCAAAATTTCATGTAACAACTAGAGATCAAGCAGTCCCTTACAAGAAGAAGGTAACCACTGGAAGTTACAGCTGAAACGTTCAACTGGACACTCTCAGGTCAGTCAATGGTCGGTTATTTAAATAAATCTGCATTTAAATATTTATCGCTATTTTCTCATATTTTTTTTCAACGTATTTCACGTGTAATGTGACTTATAGTATTCGCTACTTAAATACGTAGCATGTCTGTTTAATAGCATGAATTCTAACACTGTGAACATACAGGGGCTGCTTCCAGACAGAAATGCCGGGAATTGCCGCTCCAAATTCCCGTCAGACGAAGCGCGTGAACAGGCAAGCATCCCTGACCACACCGTCATTGTTTTGCTGAGGAAGCGCAAGCTCCAGTAAAGGATTCATCATTGGAAAGACCCACCGATTAGTCTGTTAGTCCCCCTCCTTAGGGAACAGCTGTCGTATGGTTATGATACGCATCACTACACTCAGCTCATACTGGCATATCGACGGGATATAGATACGATCGAGACACTTTTGATACTAAAAAGAACATTTCAAAGTAAAATATGTATGCATTGAGATAGGGGTAATGTACTTTCAGATGTCCCTAGTTAGTGTTCAAAAGTCTAAATGCTAAATCACAGTTGATATATTAAGAATACATTTACGATAAATTATTTACTGAAAGATATCAAGTGTGTACCTGAGAGGTAAATAGCCTTGCTATTTCCAATTTTTAGGAAGATTAAGTGCTTGTTTTTTCAGTTTTAATGGAGTGATTGTAGTTATTGCATTATTTATTTTAGTATATTAGTTATATTGGCACTTGTCCCGCACTGAGGCTGTGTGAATAGCCGTAACGGCTGATGTCCCAGCGGCTATCCCTGGCCCTCCGTCTCTTACGCAATTAGTCATCCTTCCCTTAGTTGGCAGGCCCTGATACACGCGTACATTTGTCCGATAAATTTGCCGCCATTGTGCGTGTGAGCGTCCTGCCGAGATACTCTGATGCATTAATAAGAGATGCCTTTATAAATGAATAGTTTGACTCCTAAGAACGTGAAAGTGATTAGTGCTGATACGTTAAAAGGAAGACAGCACGGTCCAATTAGCCTACTGTAAGTGAGGTTAGGGCATGTACGTTCTTGCCTTTTCTTTATTTACAAACACACGGTGCAAAATTCACCTCCATCAAACACTGACCCCTAGCTCGTCAAGTCGCGCTCGCCGGCGGCGTAGCTGATAGGTTTGCGGATCCGCCCAGGAAGTAACCAGTCTTTCTAGGGTGGTGGTGCTGCAAACTTCTCAGAAGTTGTGAAAGCTGCGGATTAACGAAACCTGAACGATCGGCGTCTCAGTTCAAAACCATAGATCTGCTTTTTTTTCGGATATATAATCGGATTGTGAATTAGGCGTTTTTGCAAAGGGCTGAAACGGCCGAGAAAACATGCTGGTTTTCACCGCTGGCATCAGGATCGCTAGCACATGAATTATATGAATGTAGATAGATAAATGCAACGCGTTTATGATGACAACCGTGCCAGCGACACAAACCTTGGTTAGTTAACATCTGATTATTTTTGTGTGTTTTTAATATCTTTTTCTGCCTCTGTTTTACAATCTGTCCTCCGGACCTGGCTGACATGACGGTAAGTCTTGTCTGTTCTTGAAATGTGAATGATCAGTAGGCTGGCCCAGCTTGTTGGCAAAAAAAGGTCATAGTTAACTTTATGGGAATGACTTGTGGACAGCGTTATTTTTAGTTGACTATATTGCGTATGTCTCCGTATTGTTTTGGGCGTTAAAGTTTCGTTTGAGTTTTGCATATATGAAAGTAACGCTTTTGAGAAGTTGATGAAATTAAATGCTGGGGCGGAGGAGTGGGTGTGTCTTTATGCGGTTAGAGTACGATTATATAGGTAATATACTGTGTAGTTTCGTTATTTGTATTTTAACCTCGATCGGTTTGTGTGGGACCCCTTCACATACCTACCAGTATCCGCCGATATCCTTTTTGCAAAATACGGATGGGGCTGTTTGGTGCGTCTCTGCACGCGTGTTTATTGGGCTGTGCTGTGAAATTAGTATCCAGGAAACGACTTTTTAATCACGCATCTGTAACAAGTTCAATCCAGAAACACAAATCACTATTCATTTTCTTTAAAAGTAGCTGTTAATTGTTGATGGGTGTTATTAAGCCATAGGATATTTTGGGTGACAGGTTTCCCGGCCGGAGATGTGACTTGGGGATCAGCAAGCTTCTTTGGGTTCTTGTTTGTTTTGTGTCTCGGCGGTATTGTTGTCCATTCGGCTGCACTTAAATGCACGGGACCTTTCGTCCAGAGACTGCCATATATTTTGTCCGTTCATATCAGGCCCCTTGTGTGTCGCTTACGTCTACATTTCCTCCTCTTCCTCTTCGTTTTGTCCGTAGGTGTTTCCTGAATACGTACTTCGTCGTGTAGTGCCATGTTTTATGTTAGCTGTCATGTTTTAAATTACTCCGATCCGTTGCACGCACTTTAACCTCTGTCTCAATATTAGGTTTCTCATGAAACTCTGCGTTTCTGTTGGTCGATCAGTGGTCGGCTTTTACACAGAAGTAGACATTACTCTACCCTGACTTCATGACTTGATACAGTGAAACCCTTTTAAATGATGAGGTGTTCTTTAACACTGATTCAGTGTAATTTTTTATATGTACATAATATACGTATATATGTATATGTAATTTATATAGAATAAGAAAAGATTCTTTTAAGAAATCACTTGATGTTGACTTTAGCTTAGAGTAATGCAGAGTATTGTCTGAGGGTCAGGAAACTTTGCATAAGGCAGCAAGAGATAAAAACAGAAGTTGAGGAATGTAAATATAAAAAGCTTTCTTAATCTGAAACCACAATCTGGAGTGCTGAATTTTTTTTTGTTGATGTCTTGCTCTGTATTTGAATTTCTCTGCTGTTTCGTGTTTTTTTTTCTTCTTTCTTTCTTTTAGGTATTTCCTGCAGCTATTCACACATTTTGTCATGTATCGCCTCTTCGCTTTCTTCCTGCATTCAAACATGTGCACACAGACGCACACAGCTGCGTGCTCTCGTTCATTTGCGCAGACTTTCAGCCCCCCCCGACCTTATTCACACCTGCGTTCACGGCCCTCTGGGCCATTATATCCACCAGCTCCTCCAAAAATATTATGTGTTACATGAGATGCACTCGAAGGTGTGTTGTGAGGTGTACAGAAACGCCACGTAAAATGTGTACAGCGGTTTGACAGTGTCACAGGAAAGATGGTTCTTAATTTAAAAAGTTGGCTATTTAGATATATATTACTTTCAGGTTAAGTATTTTTGAATGTGGATGATTTTGCAGTTAAGCACTTCACTGGAACAGTATTGTCTGTTTATAACAAAGATGTTTCCTCACACCCAGAAATGAACTTGACAGCTAATTACCTCTGTTCTGTCTCTCTCTGCAGCCCGATCTCCTTAATTTTAAGAAGGGGTGGATGTCGGTGCTTGACGAAAATGGAGAGGTACAGGAGCGAATTCTCACCGTCCCTCTTTGTAGCCTGGAGTTTCTGTTTAACAATCCTTACTTTTTAAAAATCAGCTGAAGTGACTGTGTCATCCTACTTTAGCTGAGCTAACCTTTTATGAATATCGGCATCTTTAGGGTTCCTCTAACTAATAGTGTCAGAGTATTATTGTACCAACATCTATATATGTTCAAAGGTTGAATACTTTGGTAAACTAACCTCATGTTTTGCTGTTCTGTTCAGTTTTGTATAAACAGGTTTGTTTGGTGATGCTGTAATAAGACCATGTGATTATCCTCTTCTTACATCATTCTTTCACATGGGCCTTGTACCCTGATACGTATACATCATTCATGTGGTCATATAGACTCGTTTATATGTTAGGTGCACAAGGTCAGTCAGTCATTGGCTGGTTTTTAGTCAGTATAAGAGTAGATCAGGCCCTGTGTTTGGTAATAACTCAGTATGGATCCCTTGTGTCTTATAGTGGAAGAAACATTGGTTTGTGCTGACTGACTCCAGCCTGAAATACTACAGGGATTCAGGAGCAGAAGAGGTGAGCTGGCTGTTATACAGGCACTTAATACATTTATTACATGGTATTTAATCCTTGATGGATGTTTTTTTTTTCCTACTTTAAAATTTCCTCTGGTTTGTTCTACCAGATCTGTTCATATTTGGTAACTATAGCAACATCTTTATCCCATTACAGGAATATGAATTTACTTTTCACAACTCCTTGTTCTTTCATGTAAATTTAGTTTATGTGTCTTCGCTTGGTGTCTGGTATTTTATCTTTTGTCCCTCCCCCACACCCACAATAGAAGGATGATCTTGATGGGGAGATCGACCTGAGGTCCTGTGTAAATGTGACCGAGTTTGACGTCGAAAAGAACTATGGCTTCCAGATACAGGTGCACATTCCTGATTGGTCCTTGGCATTGCTGTCCTTCGTGGTGTGTCAACTGAAACCCTTCCTTTTCCTGCACCCCCCTCCCTTAACTATAGTCTGGCTCTTGTTCCCCCCCCCCGTCAGACCCTGAATGCCGTCTTCATCCTCTCTGCCATGACTGCTGGAATCCGCAAGAACTGGATCGAGGTTTTGAGGAAAAGCGTCCGGACTGGCAATACCCCTGACATCACACAGTAAGTGCACGGTGCTGCACTGTGTGGGCCTTGTCCATTAGCAGTGCAGTGATTACATGCTGAGTCACTGGCAGCAGGTGTATGCAGTGAATCGCTGCACACACCTAGGGCCATGTAAATCAGTGGTCTGATTCATCGCCTTCTCATTCCCACGCAGACTGCCGGATAGCAGTAGTGACAAGGAGAACTCCCATAGTCTTGGTCGCACCCCCTCCTCCCGTCAGCACCCCTCCTGGCAGTCGAGCGGGGCAGCCACCCCTCCCGCCACGGCTGCTATGCGGCGGTTCGACTATGTGGAGCTAGCACCGGTGACTGTGGCCCTTGGGGTTATGCCCACCTCTCTCCGGGGGACAGGGGAGGGGCAGGCTCGGGATAAAGGGCCGGGCACGACGATGGAGCAGCGGCAGCGAATGGAGGAAGAGATTGAGAAGAAGTGGGCGGAGTTTGAGAAGCTTCCCCTGAAGAGGATGTGCTCCCTGCCCCCGATGAGCTCACTGGGCGGACAGCCGGCCAATGAGGCGCTGCAGAGGGAGGTAGTGAGTGAAGCAGATTTTTAATTTGCAGATGCAAATTAACAAAATGCTACCTGGTGTGTGGCCACCCGCCGCTTTGGGTTTGCGTCTCGCTGCCGCTCGGGGTAGTTTTGCTTGCCTCCTGTTCCCTTGCAACCAGAGAGTAGATAAGCATCGGGGGAGGGCGTTTAACTGTCCCACGTCGTTCCACATTTTCTCTCAAAATAGCATGACACATTATGATGACTTTAACATGGATTTTGGAGTTCATTTTAAAATAGTCACCTGAAAAACGGAATTTTTTGTGGCTCTGCTTTACCATTGCTAATGATGAGGGAAAGTCTGGATAAACGGGGTGTGTGTTTGTGTGTGTTCAGGTTCTGTGTTGTTCAGGCCTTTTCCTTGGTGATCATGTGACCGCGCCGGCCTGCTTTACCCCTCTCTCCGCCTCTCTGTTGTTCAGGTGGCGTCTCTGAGGCAGCAGCTGGAGCGAAAACAGAGTGGAGGAGGAGGAGGAGGAGGAGGAGGGGGGGGGATGGGTCACTGTGGGCCCGAGGCTCCATGTGGCCGCAGCTTGGAGGCCATGGAGACGGCGCACCAGCATGCCCTGGCCGAGCTGCAGAGGAGACACGACAGGGAGACACGGGGGCTGGAGACGGAGAGGGATAGACTGCTGAAGGAGGAAGCACAGGCCACGGCGCAGGGTGAGGCGGGACCAGGCAGACCAAGGGACTCCTGTCGTACTGCTGCCGTGTGTGACTGTGCTTATCAGATTGTGCATCCCCATGTGAGAACCGTCTATGGCGGGGGGGCCGGCAACCTGCGGCTCGTGAGCCATGTGGCTGCGGCTCTTCTCATAACGATAGACGAATTCACATTTTCATGTCTCAACATAATGCTAATACTAACGTAAAGAGAAATCACGTATTTATGGATTAATATTATTATTTTTTGTTTAGATATTTCTTTAGCTATATGTGAATGAGGCAGTCCGTCACGCTTCTGCTATGCCTTAACTGCATAATTTACATCTTCCTCAAAGTCATTCGGTAAAACGAGGTTACCTCTCTGGTTAAATGGTATGCTTTCTTTAAGCACCTGAGATTGGATGTACACTTCAAAGTTTATTGGGATTCCTAATTCTTTCATATAGTTTTTTTTGTAGTAAATCATCACCATGCTTTCCCACGTCTTCGTCAAAAGGATTATATATTCTCAGATTTACATATAATAGCCAGCTGAGTTCGGAGTGGTGAGGACATTTTGCACTGCTGGGTCAGCAGTGTTACAGTACTGAAGTGGAGAGTGAAGGGCGGACAACTACAGAGCCAAATGAAAGGAGGGAAAAGAGTGAAGACTATCGCTACAGAACTAATCAGTGTTGTACTGTTAGTCACCTTTGCGTTGTTACGTGTTTGAGTGATTTAAACCGGAGATGCCCCCCCCCCCCATATACACATATCACATTATAAAATCGTATCTCAATCCCCCTTCTGTACCTATTGTGGCTCTTTGTAAATCTTGGGTCAGACATTTAGGGGAAAATGGCTCTTTGCTTTAAAAGGTTGCTGACCCCTGGCCTAGGGTGTATCCCATGGTTATTATCTTTAGCTAAAACTTGAAGGAAACATTCTGAAAGTAATATAAACTACTACAGCAAAATGAAAACTTCAATTGCTTCCAAAACTAACTGAAATTAAATAGTAACACATCAAATACTTCCTGTCACTGTTTTAATACTATTCAGCTAAAGTAATGATTGTTTCTCTTTCTCCCCTGACGGAAATCATTCAAGGAAATATAATCCAGTATATTATCTTTAGATAACCATCGATACTACCTGGAACATGTTTTGCCCACTTGGAGAACATTTAGTACATTATGTACTAAAGACATGAAAAACCACTGCTACTTTAGGACTATATCCCTAAATATAAAATTGCTAAAACTTAACCTGAAAGTAATATCTATCTAAAACTAAATTGAAATATATCTGTAAAATCAAAACTAATGAAACCACATATCAAATAAAAATTGAAAAGAACATGAAAGTAAAGAACATGAAAAACAAACTAAAAAAAATATAATAGCATCACTGGTGTAATGCAGCCCTGTGCCCTGTGCCCCCCCCCAAACCCTGAACAGGGTTGGATGATGGATGTTATCATTTTTCCCTCCCCTCCCCAGCAATGGAAGCTCTGAAGAAGGCCCACCACGAGGAGATGGAGCGAGAGCTGGAGGCAGTCCGGCGGCTGGCGGGGGCCAGTGCGGATGTGGAGGCTCTGAAGAGGCAGCAGGAGTGAGTACCTGGGAGGGCCCCTGGCAGATGGGGGTGGGGCCCCTGGCAGATGGGGGTGGGGCTCTGGCAGATGCCAGGCTCCAGTGTTGCGTAACTCGCTAACGGCACATATTGGGGCCCCACGCATATCCTGCGCAGCTGGGTGGGGGGGTGGGAAAATGCAGAAGCCCCAAGAGCTTGGTTGCATTCCGCAAGACCGGTTCCGTTGCATTTTGCGCTAAAACGCAGCAGTCCGGTGGGTGGCGAGATACGGGCTGGGGGGGGGGATTACAGTAGGAGCCGCGGAACTGTGGGTTTTACTTCAGTTTTATTTTGGTTTCGGGCTGCCAGTCACACATCATGCATGCTGCAGCGTTCTGTGTGCCTTTCGGGTTGCCAGTCACACATCATGCATGCTGCAGCCTTCTGTGTGCCTTTCGGGTTGCCAGTCACACATCATGCATGCTGCAGCGTTCTGTATGCCTTTCATGAGGAGGTGTTGGAGGTTTGGTCCAGAGAGTGTGTGTGTGTGTTATGTATATATTACATTTTGGTGTTGGTCCTCACAATGTTATAAAAATCTGTCCTTTTGACACCATAGGGACCATTTTGTTGGTCCCCACAAGGGAAAACTGAATTTTTTAAAAATTTGTGACTGCCCACAAAAAAATAAAAATGTCAAAAGTCTTGTACATTGGTACCTTGGTTTACGAGCATAATTAGTTCCGGAAACATGCTTGTAATCCAAAGCACTTGTACATCAAAGCGAATTTTCCCATTATAAATAATGAAAACTCATATGATCCGTTCCACAACTCAAAAATATTCATATAAAAATTATTAATACAAAATATAAAGTAAAAATACATAAAACAAATTAACCTGCGCTTTATCTTTGAAAAGAATCGTGGATGGTGTGAGGGAGACGAGAGAGGAGAAGAGGAGGGTTATTTTGTAGGACGACTTTCACTATAATTAACGGAATCACTGCTATCTGTTGGCTCACTGGAATCTTTTTCTGTTTGTGCGACTTTAACAAGGAACCCATCCAATGACAGCCTATTTTGCTTCCTTTTCTATTTCGGAAAAATGTGGACATTGCATTGTCGTTAAACAGATTCATCGCTCGCACTGCTACGCCCTTATTCAGGTGGTGCTTTTCTACAAAATTTTGACTATACGAGTGAGGCATGCCGACTGAGACCAAACATGGGAGACGATTACCCACAATTCCGCAGCATGAGAAAGTGAATAACCATTGGTTCAGTTGTGATGACGTGCGCTCGGCGTCAAAACAAGAAGCGCACGCATGCGCTTCCTGTTTTGAAGTGGGGTGCACGTAAAAACAAGAAAAACAAGGAGCGCATGTGTGGCATATGATTTTTGATGATACTTGGCGCTCGTAAACCAGGACTTCCTTGGTTTCCGAGTCAAAATTTATTAAAAATCTTTGCTCGTCTTGCGGAACACTCGTTAACCGCGTTACTCGTAATCCGAGGTTCCACTGTATTTTGTTTGCTTACTTGTGGTTGAGGTTAGGGCTGGGTGGGGGTTATGGTTGTCATTGTTTGGATTAGGGTTTTACCCATAAAAATGCAAGGATGGTCCCCAAAAAAATATCAATACAGATGTGTGTGTCTAAAATCATGTCTTGTCTTAAAATGAGAATATTCTTGTGCCAATTTTGAGGTCTAATAACTGATTTTGAGAGCTGATGTCAAGTTGATGACCAGCTTGTTTGTGATGGCGCCCCCTGCTGCCTTAAGGTCAGATCGGCAGGGCCTGCAGAGGGAGCTGGACGGCCTGTCCGATAGGTACTCTCAGAAGTGCCTGGAGCTGAACCGGGCCATGCAGAGTGGTGGGGAGCGGGAGAGAGAGCTCAGCCGCAGGGACGCAGAGATGGAGCAGCTGAAGAAAGACAATCAGGTGAGAGAGGTGGGGGGGGGGCGCTGATTAGTGCCATTCAGCCATGTGCCAGGATAGTGGGGGCTGTAAATGGTGATACTTAATCCTGCTCAGTTTACAGAAGTACCTATGCCAGGAAATACAGGACACGCAGTCACACGTTAATCGCGATTACCTGCACTGATTCACCCAGAACCCTAACATACCTGTAAAATTGGGAGGAGACCCACTTAAGCATGCAAACTGGGCACACCCAAAGGTGGAACTTAATTTGTGAATGCAATCAAAAAAACTAAAAATGCCAAAAGTCTTGTATTTTGTGTGGTTACTTATGGTTAGGTTTAGGGCTGGGTAGGGGTTAGGGTTTCATTGTTGGGATTAGAGATGAATGGAGAGTCCCCACAAAGATACGTATACAACAGTGTGTGCATGGTAAGCCCTGATCCTTCAGTTCCTCTCCTCTCAGGTGCTCCAGGCCCGTGTGATGGAGGAGATCAACCGGATGCACTCTTTGGCCAAAAGCCCAGGGTCAGATGGCGTCCCTCATGATGGCCATCAGCCCGACTCCTGTCACCTGGAGGTGAGTTTCAGGACGGGAGCAGTCGCGAGTGCAGTTGGTGGGGGTGGGGAGGATTCAGTCAAGGGGAGCGGAAATCAGGTCCCGCCTAAAGCAGCGAGAGGGTCTCGTCAAACCGGTACTGGACTGCGAATAAGAACTGGCAACTCAGTGAAAGTTGAGGGAACACTGGAGTTAGATGGAAGGCCGTGGTTAAAGATCAGAGCATGAGTGCTGCAGACATGGACCACCTAGAGCAGAAAGGCCACCAGTTCAGACCGTGATCCACACTGGCCCTGAGAACGGAGGAGGATGACTTTGTAATCTAAGAATAGTCATTTGTCAAGGGCTTCAAGAAGAGCTGCAGCCAACCTGGCAACCCTGGTGACTTTTACATTCATTGCTTTGGCAGCAGGATTCTGCTGTTAGTCTGTTATGTAAATAATATCGTTTCTACAGCTACAGATACCATTTTTTTTCCTCCGTTGAATGTTCCCGTGAATGGGTGGAGCGGGTGGAACAGATAAACAAAGCAACTCCTTTAAAATTAAAGCAAAATAAATCTTTAACTGATGGATGACAAGGCTGCATATTTGTATTTTATTATGCAAAGTGTTTTTTTTTTTAAAGAAGACTATCGTTATGAAGCTGGCTGTAATTCCAGAATCTTCTCTAATGTCAGTGACTTGTGCAGTAGCATCTGTTGCAAACTCGATTCCAAGCCCAATATTTTCCCCATGAAAAGCAGTTTGAAAAGGTTTCCTCTCATGTGGTTGCTGGGATTTCAATGGTAGCATGCAGTTCTGGCCTTGTCTGGTCTGCACCAAATGAGTACCTTCTTCTGCAGAATTACGGGCTTGGGATTGTGGGAGACGGCTTTCACCTCCCCCGCTCTCTGCCTGGGTCACTCACTATCCACATTTCCCTCTGCCCTGGTCTCCCTTTATAAGCATTTAAGTGTCTGTGCTTCACTTGAGACCACAGCAGTTTTGCTCATTTCTCAATTTATGGGTATGCTTCTGTGTAAAATACACATTTTTTTTTGCAAACTCCAGCCTGGCTCTTCCCTGCTTCTCGTTAATGAAGGGCTTCTTCCTGGCTTTTTGGCTCTTCGGTCCTGCACTTAATGCTTCCCATTCCTTTTGAAGGTCACTTGATGTCATCTCCCGATTCATGAGCCACTGCTGGATACGTTGACAGTCATCTCTGGCATTAGAAAGTCACTTCCACACATTGGACCTGGCTGGATTCTGGTCGTTCCCAGTGTCTCCTGCTTCACCTTGTTCTTATGTACTTCTGTCTTGGAGACTTTGAGCCTGGAAGCGGCCTGCCCATGCAGTGCAGCCTTCTCCCGGCACAACCAAGATCAAACCAGGTTTTAAAAATGCAGATTTTTATAAAAATAATATAGAATGGTCTCTTATTTTTTCCCGAGCTTTTTCAGTTCAGTTATTTTTATAAATTGCCTTTTGCAACATTTTTCCTCGGAGCACCTTACATTTACCTATATAAATACCCACGGCACACCGTGCAAGTAGAACAAAGGGTAATTCAGAGATGGAAAATCCCCTCTAAACGGACAGTCTCTTCATTTTTATTTATACCACATGCCAGTTAATAGCAGCATTCCAGTTAACAAACCAGCTGCTGCTCATGTAGTATCTCTTCTCTTTCCTTAGCATGAGCGTCGCACTGCAGCATTCCCAGAACATGCAGAGCACCAGTGTGCCACTGCAGCATTCCCTGAACATGCAGAGCACCAGTGTGCCACTGCAGCGTTCCAAGAACATGCAGAGCACCAGTGTGCCACTGCAGCGTTCCCAGAACATGCAGAGCACCAGTGTGCCACTGCAGCGTTCCCTGAACATGCAGAGCACCAGTGTGCCACTGCAGTGTTCCCTGAACATGCAGGGCACCAGTGTGCCAACAAAGCGCCTCTCCTGAAATCACCCTGCATGTTGTGGTACCTCAGGGCCCAGCCTCTCGAGATGAATCACTGCACTGTGTTTCCGGACAGAGGTGCTGTTCTCTGTTTTGTTGGGATAGATGCTATGACCTCGGAAGCCAGTTTAAAAAAATTTTTTTAAAAATGACAGAGGAAGTAGCAGCGTATTCATCCTATCGCTTCAAGAGTGGATTTTTTTTATTTTTTTTTATTAACACAGCTCTAATGAGGAGGAATCCTGATGCCTGGTAGCTAGCAGTTAATGTGTTTTTGCTTATTATACTCTTACGATTCCACTTACAAATATTCAGAACATGAAAAAGGCAACAAGTTGAATGGACTGCAAACTGAAAATCGTCGTCATTTGTCAAATGAAATGCTACGTCCTGTCCTTAACCCATTTAGGATGTGATTTGTCCTGTATTTCTTCTGATTGAAAGTGGAAACCCTAATTGCTGGTGCTTGTGACTGTAAGAATGCAAATTCTACTGGATGATAATGCTACAGGTTTAGTTTCTGGCAGTTTACGATGCACAGCACCGGTCTTGCGTCGGACTTTAAACTGCAAAAAGTTCTGTCACACCACCCACATCTTTGTTTTTTTCTTTTTACTCTTTCATTCTTAAAGGGTACCGTATGATTGGTTGGAATTGGGCTTGTTTCTGTGATGTGATAGGCTGTTGTGTGCTATCAAGCAATGCACCTCATCCACAGTTCATCTAAATTTCTCATTACTGTATTATTTTCATATGTTAAGTCGATACATTGTTTATATCGCCAGGCCCTCTTTTGAGTAGCTTCAGATATGTGCAGTGTCCCATCATGGACCGAACCACATTGTTCTGCCACTTTGCAGTGGACCAGTGGTCGAAAAACACTGTAATAGAGTACCAGTGCTGGTAACTGCATAAATAAGATTTCATTTGGACTGATAGCAGGATGACCACAGTGACACTATTATGTTTTTAGGTGCTGCTGCGGATGAAGGAGAATGAGGTGCAATATCTGCTTAAGGAGATCGGCTGCCTGAGAGAGGAACTGCAAGCCCTCAACATGGTATTGGCTGTGTGTTTGTATGTGGGGGTTATGTATATATTGCATTGTGGGGACCAAATGTCCCAACATTGTGATAAAAACCAGTTATTTTTCCCCACAAGGGGAAACTTTATTGTGATAAAAATCTATAACTGGGGTTAAAAAACTAAAAATACCAAAAGTCTTATATTTTGTTTGGTTACTTAAGGCTAAGATTAGGGCTGGATGGGGGTTAAAGTTGGGTTGCAAAGGGGGAGAAAATTTCTAGAAACTTTCCATGGCAACTTAAGCTGGGGAATTTTGGAAATATTGAATTTGGTGGAACTCCACATGAGCTGACATATAAGTCAAAGAAAGCAGACTGTATGAATAATGCAACATGGAATATGACTTATAAGCAGTGAGTTTTAATGCGTATGCTTATTTTGGGGTGTTTTTACTCACATAATTTTTCACAATCACTTAGTTACATACTGTAATGATATCACTATTAGTGCCATAAAGATGTTTTTTTCTCAAGCACATTTAAGTTCCCCGTTATATGCTAACCTGTAATTTTCAGGTTCCAATTGTCAGCTTTTCACTTTTCAGGTTTCCAGTTTATCCCCAAAATATATAATATAAATATATATTCATTCCCATTAATTGGTTAATTGGCATACATATTCCTGTTACTTCCCATGGAAAGTTTCCAACTTTGGAAATTCCCAGAATTTTGCAGCCCTGGTTGGGATTAGGGTTATGCACAATGGAAATGGAGGGATGGTTCCCACAAAAATAAAAATTTTGACGTGTGTGTGCGGGAATGGGACCGGGGAGTACATGTGGCGGGTCATTAGTCACACTTATGAACACTCACTGAAGGAGTCCCATTGTTACATCTTCAGGTTTCTGTGTAACATGAACAGTGACCAGTCAGCTGATTTGTTGGGCTCTATTAAAATGCCCTGTATGTGAGATGCAGAGAACCTATCAGATTACGTTATGATGTTCCTCTAAAGGAGAAGGTCATCCTGCTTCACCTTGCTCCAGTGGTGCCGCTTCTCGTTTGACTTATGGTTTAGAATCGGCCGAGATGGTCACATGGTGTTCCTGTACCCCCCCCCCCAGGAAAAGCGGGAGGCATGCAAGCGCTACAAGGAGGTGCACGCGGAGCTGAGCGGGATGAAGAGCCGCAGCGAGCGGGAGGTGGTGGCCCTGAAGGAGCACCTGAAGCTGGCCATGGCGGCTCTTCAGGAGGGCCAGCGGCTGGGGAACAGCCTGGACCACTGAGACTGAACCGGGGGGGGATCCAGAGGGCTGAGTGCACAAGGAGAATGGGGTTAATGCGGAGGAGCCACCTCCTCATCTTGAGTCATGAGTGGACCCAAATCATTATGTCGCGCTCTGTTGAACTACCCCCCCCCCCCAAAATAAGCTCTCCTCCTTCTTAGATGAGCTCCTCCTACACTGGTGTGACTGCTCTATATTTTTTTGGATTAATGGAGCCAGGATAATGAAACTTCCTGGATCTGACTGACCTTCACTGAAAGGTCTTTAAAACTGGCTGTTAAAATTAACAAAAAAAGGTTTTTCAAGGGTGTTCCAGGTCTCAAGGATGCAGCCCTTTGCAGAGGACCTTGGTGCAGCCTTGTGTTCACAAGATGCTGTCTTGGGGGACTGACCACTTAGTCCCGATCTGTCAGGAAAGTGCGATGAAATGCTTTAGCTGGTCGATTTTCTACACTGGGTCAACCTAATGTCAGGCTGCACTTTTTAGCTGTGAGCAAGTATTGGAGTTCAAGCAAAGAATGAAATGTGGATTTTAGGCAGTGGGTGTTTTAGGAATTCTTAAGTGAAATTTCTTCTGAGCTGTGAGTGTATAGTAAAGCATGAGTAAATTCCTATTTGGGCCACTTTGTATGGCAGCCTTGGATAATCAGATGGACCCCGTGTGTGCTGTGTCATATCAAATACAAGAATTAGTGTTTTGGATGGTTGAGTGAGTATTTTGTAGGATTCTAAATGAGCTCTGTATATAGATATATTTTTAAGATTTATTTCCTTTTTTGGGAGAGGGATGCTGTGTTTGCTCTGTTTTTTTAAACTTTACTGTTTAAATGTGTGATCTAGGACACATGGCTGTAATTGCAACATATTGGGACAAATTAAACTGGAATGGCTACAGGGAGCTGGTACACGTACCTACCCGTTTCAGACAGTAGGGGGCACTACAGCCAATTGTGTCTTGTCAATAAAGGTTTATTTTCACTGTGATGCTTCTCTTGATTTTTAAGCAATGGTTGACTAGTCTAGATCTTAAAAGAGGGAAACACAGGGAACACAATTGATGACTGGAAGAGGATGTGAATATGCGCGTGCCACTGAAGAGTGCTGATTTAATGAGCCAATACTAAGTTTAATTTTTTAGTGATTTATATTTGGAATCTGTGATGTCATACATCTCTTATAATTAGTGAAATGGGAAAGGTCATCGGTGTAATTATTTGCAATAAAATTGTTTACAAACACTCGGTGCATATTTCAAGTGCTCTAATGAACTTAACAGAATATGTTAACATATTCGTAATAATTATAGAATGAAATCCGTGGTTCGTTCATCATTAATCAATCATAACGGTTCATGTTTCATGCAATTACTCTGCCTGATTTGTACCCGAGTGATATCTGAGTTACTAAGGTACTTGTGCCCCCTTGTGTTACCGCAGTGTTGTAAGTTCTACATTTAAATGTTTTGATTTACTTAAAACACACCGAACATATTACTTATGTTTGTATTTCTTAATTGCAGTGTTGGACTGTTTCTACTGTTTATATTATTTTCGATTTCATTTAGAAAAGCTGAGATAATGGAAGGTTTTAAGATATTAATTATGTGGTAGTTTACACTCCAGAACTCAAGATGGCGCTGGTGAGTAAGGAAGAGATAAATTCGGAGACTGGAGCAAAAGAAGAAGAAAAGACACGGGACAACAAAGATGGCGTCTGCGGCGGCTACCCGAGGAGCCAGCGGTGCAGTTAAAGTGGTTAAGCCAATTTTCAGTCGCGATTTGGATGAGGCTAAACGTAGAGTCAGGGAATTGTACCGAGCGTGGTACCGAGAGGTGCCAAATGCAGGTAGGAAGAAAATCTTTATGAAATGTTTTTGTGTTTTAAGGAAGCCGCAAGTAAACGTCAAGGTCGCGTACATACCACTATGTGGCCAATCTGCTTTTTAAATCGAAGTTACTTATTCCTTACTCGTTATTAGTATTGCCCGGTATAAAACACCTTACATACATCACTATGACTAACGTAATTACCATGCTGTTATTATGTTGTGACCGTATTTATTGTTGCAGCTAGCCTGTACACCACAGAAATTCATATTGGCATTATTTGGACTGGTAACGTCGTAGGCATATAAGATTGTCATTTATTACATTCTTTATAGTTGATGGGGATTTTCATGCTGTAGAAAGCTTATGTCATTGTTCGGATGAGTTTAAATATACATCTTCTTTTGGTGCATCCAACAGTGGCGATATATCAACTGGACGTGACGGCACGCCAGGGCCGAGAGAAACTGAGAGAGATGTTTCTCATGAACAAGCACGTCAAAGACCCCCGAGTCATCGATATGTTAGTCATTAAGGTATACCATCTTTCTCTGTCTTTGATCCAGTATTTATAGGTGTTCTGGTTGAAATAAACACCTGAAATGTTATTCCTCATTTTGGAGCTTCTTTGTAACTTGGTAAGAAACTGCACCCAGAAACGGTTAGACTATTTCATTTTCAATCCTTTTCATTAACTTTGATCTTAATCTGTCATTCAGGGTAAGATGGAGCTTCAGGAGACTATACAGGTCTGGAAGCAGAAGACTCACGTGATGCGGTACTTCCATGAGACAGAGACACCACGACCTACAGACTTCCTGTCTAAATTTTATGCTGGACATGATCTTTGAACTCGATATTCTAAGCATATCTGTACAGAAAGTACTTAAGTCATGAATGAACTTACTGACTGTAAATATACACTTAACACCGATTCATTGTGTCAGAATTATTAATGAGAATTCCGATTATGTATTCTTTAGTTTCTAGTCCTGGATTTTTAAAGGGGCTATTTTTCAGACTTGGGTGTAACTTATCAAGAAACAAGGAACTTAAAATCTCAGCGTAATCTTTATTTGTAATCGGACAGTATAAACAGCATGTGAAATAGCCATTTGGGGTCATGTCTGCCAGGAATGATATTATAAGCTTTGAATAGGCGAGTATGAACAGAAACCATCTTGTGATATCAGCTACTAAACAATTGCTCCTCCCTCAGAACATTCACCTGACTGGTTCACAATTACAGTAGTGGCCAAAGCCACTTTGATTAAGCTCTTTAATTGTGTTCATGCAAATAGTAGAAGTCAGAAATAATGGCACCACATTTCTTGTCCATCTCTTTGGTGAGTCATAATTAAATAGCGGAAGCAGGCTGTGGAAGTTGAGGAAGGACAGGTGATGCTGATCATCCAGATACAGGTGAAACATCAGTCTTTACTCTCACTTTCCAGTGGTTTCTCTCTTTGCAAGCTTTAGTGCTGCAAACTGCAGGAAAAAAAGACATTGGGTAAGCATTCACGTGTGGTCATATAGCAGGTTACTGCATCTGTGCTTTCAGAACACGGAACAAACATTCACTTACGTGCGTGTTTAACCTCCCTATAAACGCGTTACGCGCTGATGCAAATCGTAATTTAGCTTTAAGAATTAGAGGTTAACTTGTCAATTGAAAACGACATGGCGTGGATAAGGAAATACGTATGAAGACCTGTATATATAGTATTATGACAACGTGTGTTTCGGCGAACAATCGTTCTTACCGGTGTCAAATTAGTCGTCGTCATCATCGTCCTCGGGGACGAAAATGTCATGCTCCTCTAGTAAAGCGGCAAAGTTCTTGCTAATGAGAGTACCCACATACAAGAAGGGCACCACGACCACAGCTAGCCGAATCAGGCCAAATGAGATCTGTATGGAAGAACATGTGTGGTATTGATGCTGCAGTTTTTTATGTGAATTAACGTCATTAACTTCAATATTGTGAAATACGGATTAGCCACCAACCAAGTCTTTAAACGTTTTAGGTGTCAACCATGCATACATATATAGCTTATACAATTCTCACAATATAGCTCTATGCATTATTTATACATACGCTTCGTCTGTTACGTAAGTGTACTTACAAATAACACTGAAATTGTGTGTAGGAAATTCGATGCGATTATTATTTAAATCTAATGTTAGTATAGACGAAATGTGCTGACATAGCAAATGTCTATATATAAAGAGACATCGTTGCCTTTCCTTAGTAAAGCTACTGTTTGGTACGTAGATAAACGGTTTCTTTACTTCCATATAGCAGAATCAACATGGACGCACAAACGCCCCGGTTCTTTCACTTATATAAGCAGGAATCTTTGTTGCAATCGTAACGGTCCTTTTACAAATGCTTTATGAGTCCGTTCAGGGCTCTTTCCTTCCAATAACAACATCCAATTCACTTTAACAGATTAGACGCTCACCTTGACAGGCTTGGGGAGAATGGCCCCAGTTGAGGTAGCCACAGCGTTTCGGCACTGCGGTGCATCAGGCCGCTTCGGTCCGGCACTGCGCGTCAGGACCGCGGCGTTGCGGAGCGCCGAGAGCCGGGAAAAACGACACACCACAGACGCCATGTTTTTCCACTGCGAGGTGAGCTGAGCCGGAGCCGGAGCCTGAGCTGGGCGGGACCAGCGTCCCGGTGCCGGCGGACGCTGATGTGAACCGCCTCCTTGGCTCATCTTTCTGCTTTCTACAAACGCAGCTCCGTACTGATCGTCAATATGGCAACATTAAATTATTGATATGCATAGCTTTACATTTTGTATCTGACATATAGCGCCATTGAATAGAAGGGAAATCATTCAGCGAAGTAAGAGAATAAGTGCGTGTTAATAAATGGTCGTGTTGAACTATAAACTTTAAAACGTACACACGAAATGTAGTGGTTTTTAAACACGGTTTTATTTAGTGACATTATTGTGTAATCAGCACTATTCACAAATGGTATTTACATTATAAAAAACCCCGTACAATCAATAGCAATAAGTCCGTAAGTAGGATACTGCGCTTTCTTAATACCTGGATTCAAGTCTAACTACATTCAAGGTACATTCTTGTGAACAATCAGTGCGCAACATATTGTATTGCGATATTGTAGCGCCGGTGAGATGGGTCCGCATAGCGGAGCCTATAAGCATTTATATAGCCCCTGTGTAAGTCTTGTAAATTGTTGTTCTGTGACCCCGACTGTCGTGTGTGCCCTTGCTTGTGTCTTGCGTGAACCCTGTCCGATCCTTTAGCCGTTGTTGTTTGTGCCATTCTATCCAGCGTCAGACTTCATTGTGTTTCCCCGTTATGTGTGTTCTGTGGTTCTTTAATGTCCGTGTTAGTTTAAGGGTTTAATAACAGATAATTCCTTCCCCGAAAACCGAGCCGCCTCCTTTCTTGTTGGAGTGCGATACCTCTGTGCTACATTGGTGTCAGGGGTGAGATGCTTCCGGCGCTGCTGCAGTGGGCTCTTCACACCGTCATTTGGTAAATTTGCTTCAGCTCACCGACCTGCAGGCTGCTGTGGGGTGGCGAATGGGGGAGAGGAGGCGGGGAGGCCAGCCCAGAATCACAAGCTTTAGGAGGAGTTAATCTGCTGGGGCTACACCAAGAGGGGGCACCAGGTACGCTCTGGCCTGGAAGCCCATCCCAAAGCCGCCAGCAGCCAAGCTCGGAGTGGCGCAGTGAGGGAGGCGTCACTCAGTCCCCAGTACCCCAGACCTGTGCAGTGCACCCTCAATGCCACTGCTGCCAGTCTGCCAGACCTCCGTTGAAGATGACGATGTCAGCAAATGAGGAAGGCAGGTGACACTGCGGACTCCGACCGCTCACTGGCCATCGAGGGCCCTCCGCTCACACTTGCACAGCTGCAAGGAGCCACTGGACCAACAGACAGCTGGCTGTGGCTGCTCTGCTTGGCCGTGAGGAGGCTTGCCTCAGCTGGGAGGTCCAGCTGGCCGAGGAGGTGCCCCGAGCTGTAGGAGCAGCGTGGCCAATACCATCAGAACCTCGAATGGCCACATAAGGCCACCTGATCCGGGGAGCAGGTTCCTGTCGTGTTATTGAAAGTATCACGTGCAAGTCCATTTGTTGAGAAGATGCAAACTATTTATTGAAGTTCTTCTCCAGGCGAAAAACACGTGCCTCTTTTTTAAAGAATCCCCTGTGCCCGATCCCTGGTGCTGCCGTATGACATCATCTTACAGTTGCCTGCAGTGCTTTTATAGCTACTGCTTAAAATATTAATAACATCACATCTCCCCTTTCTAGAACCAATGGGTGGACTATGGGTCAACTACCCTCCAACCTGCCTGCCCTTGGCTCAACACGATGCCTCGTCATTCTTCCCTGCGGCTGTGCCTCTATTAATCCTGCCATCGTGCATCAAGCACCACGTGCCTGCACCGGTCGGCCGCTGCATTGAGACATATATTTCAACCCCTGTATTAGCTTAGTCATTTCATCTTGTCTGTATTAGCTTCGTCATTTCATCTTGTTTGTTTGACTCATCTGCCAGCCCCTGGAGGATGGGCTCCCCCTTTGGGTCTGGTTCCTCCCAAGGTTTCTTCCTCTTAGGGAGTTTTTCCTTGCCACCGTTGCCTTTGGCTTACTCAATGGGGGGTCCTTACGAGGCAGAAATATAAAGCGCATTGAGACAATGTAATGTTGTGATAATGCGCTATATAAATAAAATTGAATTGAATTGAACTATCCAACTGACTATCCAACTGACCTTAGTTGATTATTCTACCTTTCTGCTGGGAGGTCTGCGCCTGTCTGAGCCTGAACATACTAATCTTTAACTCAGCCATATAACAGTAAACATTTACCTTCACGCTACATCTCTCTGGCTATTAATTACAAAGTTACTTGTTATTTTAAACATGTTTTAAACACATTCCCATTTTGTACCATTATATACATATATATATATATATATATATATATATATATATATAATATATAGTCCAACTTGGTTTCACCACAGTTCACCCAGACCTGGTTCTAAGAGTTCTGGTTCCGCCTCGACGGTTCTTGTACAACAGAACCCTAAAGTGGCACACTATCTGGGGATGGCACATGAGTACCATCACTGCTCTGCTCAGGCAATGCTGGCACAGGAATGAGATGATGGCGATTTTGTCTCACCGTCCCATGACAACGGAGCACGAGGTATGAACGTGGAGTTTTGTGTTCACCAAGCACTGTTCCAGGTATTCTCTGGTCTGACACCCAAACTGATTGCCCTGGTGAGGTATTGCTGAGCTCTCTTGTGCTGTGATGCCTGTTGTACTGTTATGTATCCCTCATTCTACTCCCGCTTTCCTTCTGGGCAACAGAAGCACCATTGGAAAGAGCAGGATTGAGCAAAGCTGGAAGCATTGGGAACGGCGTGTAAAGCCGCCCCCCTATGAGGAGCTGAGCAGAACTGTATCCAGTGTGCAGTGGGGTAACTATGCCAACAAAGCGAGGTGCAGGTCAGCTGCCTTTTTGAGGAGATCCTTCACGGCCTTTACTGCATGTTCAGCTTCGCCATTATTTTGGGGAAATTTCGGAGTGCTATCAGAAGCCGTATGACTGGGCAAATGCTGTGAAGGACGTTCCAGTGACCTGCAGCCCATTATCTGTCATCAGTGTCTCAAAATGCCATGCTGTGCAAAAATTGATTTCAGATGGACTTTAACATCTGTAGATCCTGAGAGAGTTAATAGAGCAATCTGCACCTATCAAAGTGAACTTTATTGTCATATCTGCTGTATACAGTATCTCAATGCGAAGTCCTCCACCAGCAGATGGGTCTTTCTCTCCAGTATAAACAAGTTAACCCCCAGCTTCTGCCATGGTTGCTCTGGGTATTCTGTGGGTATCAGTGATTCTTTGTGGTTCTTTCTTTTTTTGCAGCATATTCGGAAATTTAGGGCCAATTCGTTTAGCTGCTGACTCGGGCCTGGCCACCATACTGACTGTCGTGCACGCTCCCTGCATTTCACTACACCCTGGTGACCCTCATGCAGTTTGGCAAGTACATCATTTCTCATGGTTGAGGGGATGACTAGTCGAGTTCCCCTCAGCAAAAGCCCATCTTTAACCTTGAGGTAGGTCTATTTTGCCCAGTACAGCCTAAGCACTGGCTCACAGATGCAGTGCGCTGGCCAGCCTTGTTTGCATAACTGCATCACGTGTGCATACACACTGTCTCTCTAGCTCCAGTTAAAGCTCATTCAGGTATGTGGCTTTCACTAGCAAGTTTCCCTTGACCATGTCCACATATATGTTTGTCTCTTCAAAGAATTTGTTTTCATCAGGAGCCACGCTCCTCTTCATCGGTGCATGTGACAGTGTGTCTGCTGTCCACAAATATTTCCCTGGCACTTGAGCAATGGAGTAGGAGTAATGCATTAACCGATGTGAAAATGCTGAATATGTGGAGGGAGGGCATCCAATGCTTGTGACCCCAGGAGACTTACTAGTGGATCGTGATCAGTTTCCAACAGGAAAAGTTTGCCGATGAGGAAGTTCCTGAACCTATCACAGGCCCAGGTCAAGCCCAATGCCTCTTTCTCCATCTGTGCATATTTCTGCTCTGTCTGTGTGCGAGATCGCGACACATAGGCTATAGGCTTCCACGCTGCCTCCCATTTTTGCAGCGGCAGCACACCACCTAAGCCGTATGACGATGCATCTGCCGACACCTTGCAGTCTCTGTTCGGGTCAGACATAAGTAACACCAGGGGGAAACCAGTGCCTCTTTCAGCCCATTAAAAGTTTCTACACGTTCGCAGTCCCACAGCCAGCAGTTCTTCGGCAGGAGATCTCGCCATGGCTTGTCTTTCTCAGCAAGTTGTGGGATAAACTTCCCAAGCTGACTGACCGTGCCAAGGCAGCTCCTCAGCCCGCTCAGATTTGTAGGCTCTTTCATTTTCCTGATGGGTCTCTGTTTTCCCCACATCAGGGCTAATGCCTCTGGAGGGAATCACATGACCCCAAAATGTCACCTCTTGTTTTTACAGGTGGCACTTGTCAATGTTCAGGGTGATGCCCGCCTTCTGGATCTTTCACAGTGCTGCATGTAGTCGATCATTAACATGGCAGACAACCCCCTTGAGACCCCCTGTGACCTAAGTCACCACCCTCTCTTGAAAATGCTCAGGCGCAGAAGCAATTCCAAACGGCAGATGTCCTTAGCAGTATTAGCCGAATGGTGTTTTAAAGGTTGTAACTCAATCTTCGGTCAGGTGTATTTTTCAGAACCCTTCTGTTGAAGTTGTCTTTTCGGGCAGCCCTTTGCCTTATCAGTTCCTCCTGAGAGGACTTTTGACACCATGTCGTGTTATTGAAAGTAACACACGTGAGTTCATCTGTTGAGAAGACGTGAACTATTTATTGCAGTTCTTCTCCAGCCAAAAAACACACACATCTGTTTTTTAAAGAGTCCCCAATCCCCAGTGCTGCCTTATGACATTTTACAGTTGCCTGTAGTCATTTTCAAGCTGCCACTTTAAATAATAGTAACCCCACAGTTCCCTCTAAGCCATGTAAGGGGAAGGGTCTGCACCTGGGGGTACCTGCAATGCCAGTGCCTGCCAGCAGCCCAGCATCAGCCAGCCTCCCGGTCTCCTCAGCCTCACCAATGCTTCCAAGTGGATCAGAAACACACCAGCGGCTGCCACCGGACCACTGGGACTTGTTTCAAAGTTGAGGTGCGGACTGGGTGTGGTTGCCGGGACGGTCGAACTTTAAGGGGGGGGCAGTATAGCGCCGGTGAGATGGCTCTGCATAGCGGCGCCTATTAGCATTTCCCAGTATAATCGCGAGCCTTCTATATAGCCCCTGTTCTGTGCACCCGATTGTCGTGTGTACCCTTGCCTGTCGTGAATGAATGCTGTCTGATCCTCGCGAATCTTTACCCATTGCAGAACTTACCCACTGTGTGTGTACCTTACAGTCCAGCATCAGACCTCCCTGTGTTTCCTCGTTATGGGTTGCCAGTGGTTGTTTGGTATCTGTGTTTATCCTTTTAAGGGCTTAATAACAGGGCATTCCTTCCCCTTAAATCAAACCTCCTAGTTTCTCGCCTCCACCGCAATGCTTCGGTCTGCCAAACGCTACCGTATCATTAGCAGTGCTTCGGACACGCATTGTTCATACCACATAGCACTGTAAATATGATCGAAGTGGTTAATCTGAGTAGCCCAAATCAGGGACTACGTTATGCCCTTGTTCCTTGGCTGTCTGAGTGTACTTTGAGATTATCGAATTTTCCAGTCACGTGACATTCTGTTATTACTCTAAGATGCTGTAAAATAATATGACAAAATAACGTCCTTAGAATAAATTAGATGACCAGTAAATATATAGCCATTCACATATCTATGTACTTGATCAGTAGCACACTTGTCTTGTACCACACAAGCCAGACCTACACAGAGCAGCAAAGAGAAATAAAAGCAAAGACATGCTTCTCAAGGAGAACATCACTGTTAATGTACTATATGAATTAATTCAACCAAGTCTGTTACTAAAGTGTTGTTTAAAAAGCTTTTGACCAGTGTTGGAATGTGTCCCAAATGCGTTCAAACAGACATGCATTTTTTGTGCTTTCTGTCTAGTGAAATTGTAGTGGTGAAGCCTAACATATCAGTGCTGTCTTTGTAAATGATGAAACATTTCATATGCTATTCAGTGACAGAGCATAAATAAATAAAACAAATTCCTTACAAATAAAACCTTAACATTTCTAAGAACAATTATCCCATGTCCAGTAGTCTGTACAAATAGCTAGGAAACAAAAAAAAATCACATTTTGTGGGTGAGATTTGTGGTTGCTTAATCCAGTGAAAACGATACTCCACCCCTTCTGCGGTTCTCACGCGCTGCTCCATGGTGACGCAGAGTGGGCCCAGGAACATGTCACTGGTCACTGCATGTGGGTAGAAACGACACTGTCACCCCCACACTAAAACAATACTCCCTCAGTACAGCACCACTCTTCCTGGCTCTGGTGACGTACAGCTATGTAACATAAAACCCTACATGACCCTCCCATATTTCAACCTTTCAAGACCACAGATTTCCTTTGTCTTTACCTGATGTGGACGAAAAGAAAGCTGTCTGAAGAATTTGTTTATCTCGAAATCCCCAGGTCTGAGGGACTGGCCGGTGTGCCGGGGCTCGCCCAGCCGCAGGGTGCGGCCGTCCGTGATCAAGGCCTTTACCCTCATGCGTTTGACCACCTGAGCGTCAGGCTTGGGGTCTGCTGGTGGGTGCCGTGAGGAGACCGTGACATAGGACGCGTCTTTCTGCTGCTCCTGGTAACTCACTGAGGGACACAGAGAGAAATAAAGAGAGATCGATGTTCGTAGTGTCAGTATACTGACACAGGGAGTAAAATAATATAGCTGTTAGAGAAAAGGAATTCAACAAGAGATCCTGTGGGAGATGGCACTGTGAAATGAACACTTCCTATGCTGGGAACACCGGCACCTTCAGTTTATGTTGTAACATAAGAAAATACACTATATCAGGCAATATTATGTGTGAGGATTTGGCCACAGTGGTGACATCGCCATGCCAGCAATAAAGGGCAGTGCCTGGCATTGCCCCGTGGAAACTCCAATTGACCACAGCTGGCGGCTAATAATTCAGGCCCTCGGGCTGTACTTCAACTGAGGCCATGAAGAGAGGAAAAGAAAGGAAGTATCTGGCTGTGTTGGCTTCCTGACAGCAAAAGACCAGTTTACCAGTGTAGCTGTCTTTAATTAGTCTGTTTATATAGCATAGGCGTACAGTGCATTTCTGTGACCAGGTGCTTTAAATGCTGCATGGTTGAGGTGAATTTGTCACCTGCGGCAGTGAGAATGGTGTCTGTTGTACTCGTAAGCTCCGCGAGGATTGTGGGGTAGGCGGGGTGCAGCAGGTACAGTTTTCGGAGGACTGGATCAGCCGGGGACGCCGCTGGAGAGGGCTGCAGAACAGGAATCAAGATAGATATATGAATTCTCAGTTCCCATCTGGGGTGGTGCAGTGGTCAGCACTGTTGCTTCACACCTCTGGGACCAGGGGTGAAGTCCCTGCCTCGGATCCATGTGTGTGGAGTTTGCATGTTCTCCCCATGTTGCTGTGGGGTTTCCTCTGGGTTCTCCAGTTTCCCCCCACAGTCCATAAACATGCTGTGGTTAACTGGAGTTACCAAATTGCCCCTAGGTGTGCTTGTCAAGTCAAGTAGGTTTACTGTCATTTCAGCCATGCACACAGTGAAATGCAACATTGTTCTTCCAGGACCATGGTGCAACACAAAGAACAAAAATAGAAACAACACAAGACTGCACAAGTGCAGGCAGGACAGAACTATATAGAGTGCAAGGAGAGCAAATTGAGAGAGCGTGCAAGATGAACACAAGAGCAACAATACAATATTACAGGGCAATACAACATACAGTGCAGTTGACAAAAACAGTACTAGTTTGAAAGAATACAGTATTATGACAGACACTGTGTTCTAGCAGAAGAATTGTGTAAAAAATGCAAGATTGTGGTACATAGCAATAACTAAATAACTGCTAACAATAGCAACAGTGTGATGTGTCTGT